TTTGACTTGTCCGCGTCATTGAACCGGCGACAATTTCCTCTGCAACACGGTAGACGGCCCCGTCAGTCGTGACCGTAATACGTCCGTAAAATATTCGGTTTGAAATCGAACACGGACGCGAAACCGAACGCGGCGGTTTCGATATTCGGGTTCGTACACGTTGCCCGCTAGACCGTCATAACCTGATTTTTCGGCGTTCGGTTAAGATACCACCGTATACCATAAAACTATGAAAATAATCGAAAAGTTCCAAAATTGATTAGGCTTTGAAACTAACCGTTTGGGAAGAGGTTACATTTTTAAATTACATTTTCACGAGGTTTTTGAGATGTGGCACTTTTGTACCAAGGGTGCGTTTCGCGCGTATTTTCGTTGCAAATCGTACACCTTCCTAAACCCGTATAGGAACTTTGGCACTGCAGTCGTATAAAATTCAGAATTTCGATCGAATGACGGGCCGTCTACCGTGCATACGAAATTGTCAAACGAAATGCTTCGTATGGAAAACGGTGTTCGAGAAGAACAAGAAGAAGAAGACGCCGTATACATGAAATTAAAGCAATCACGGGAATTCGATTATGAAAAGGAAGCGTGTTGTTTTGTTTTGTTCACGAGCGACTTTCAATTTAGGAGGTTGTTTCCAAGCGGTTTTCATCATGCTTGAGAAAACCCGGACGAACCATACGGCGTTAACGATTTCATTGTTTAAAATATTTTCAAATTCCGTTTTTAAACCACGAATTTTGCACCTGAACTCAACTGTAGCATTTTTTCCTAGATCAAATGTTGTTTATTTAGTGCGTAAAAAAGTCGTATTTCGATTTTCTGTGAAGTTTTCTTAACAGTTGGGAAAAAACGCAGAAATGGATTTCTCTAGCAGTGGTTTATCGTTACGTATTACAAAGTGTATAAACTAAACAATTGTGTCTGTCCTACCTTTCTAATTTTCCGCCCCGCCCCCCCCCCCTAAAGAATCGATAAATTGTAATTTTCGAACACAATTCGAAATTCCTTCAATTAAATATTATAACGGGCAGACGGCAGTTTTTTAATTCTACGCCGAATCGTTTTTCGAACCGTTCAAACGATAACGCCGACAACAGCGTTTTCGTACGGTTTTCGGACGTACGGTAGTCATACCAATCATGAAATCGTTCGATTTAGAACAATAGTTGCCGCCGTCTACGCGACCGACCCGGGAACCTGACTGCGCGCGCTACAGCCGCGGCAGCCCGTCACAACGTCCGTCATAAATGGCGGCGGGCGTCATCGACGTTTTCCAGCGTTGTCGCCACGGGACGCGAACGCGTTCACACCCGGTCGACCCCGTAACGGGGTCGACGCCGACGGTATTCTATTTCAGCGCGGCCGGACGACAATAAGCCCGCGACAAACGGCCCGTTCGTCATAACGCTGACGGGTACCGCCGATCGCCCGTGTAATCGTCGACACGGAGCTCCGTTCCGTCAATGGGAACTGCGAAAACGCGATGTCACAACGGCATTCGTTCGGGTTCGTTCGTCGTTTCGCGCCAACGCGGAGACTCTTGTTGTTTCGCATGCGGTCCGATTGTACCGCTGAAATCCGTTCGCTTTCCAACACCCCCGGGACGCGGTCCGATGTGCAGATATCGCAGCCTTAATCGTTTTGACAGAACCTTTTTGTACAAACCACCGAACCGATGTCGCGTCCCGTGTCCGCCGTGTACGACGTGTACACGGTGCGTAGCGCGTGCGGGGTTTTTCTTTCGCGATGCCGTTTTGTCAACGGCGGTTTTCTAGAGCGGGGATAGCGCACATTGAAAGTACAGCGCTATTACCGTTATCATCGAACGCTTAAACGGTTTTCGTTATTTATTTTATTCTGCGCGGCGTGATAGTGTTATGTTATGTTATGCCGTTGAATGTAAAACTCGATTTGAAAAATGTAGCGGTGAAGGAAGACGTTTCGGGGGGGGGGGTGATCTCCCCCCCCCGCACCATCTGCGTGCACCGCTGCGTGTAAATATAGGTCAGTAGAGAAATCCGTTTTCCCTAACAGGGGCGTCACAATTTTCAATATTGTTCAACTACCTATTCGGGGTCTTACAGACCTTTGTCAAATTTTACCGAATCAAAAACGTCATCACAATATTAAATTAGCTATTTGTTTTCAAATGGGCGATTTTCCGATACATATCTATTTCCCGAAATAGTCTATTCAAAACATAAAAAACATGTATTGTCAAATTTTCCTCGAAATTAGAAGACTACTGGCACTGTTTATTGTAGTCTGTTATGCATAGTAAATTTGTCTTATTCACTTTACTTTTGGCCATTTCAATAGCGGCGCCAAATGAGCTTGATTTCGAGAATTAAAATTATTTCGCAGGCGGATTGAAGTGATAAAAGTTCGACTTGATTCCGATATAAATTTAACCATGATTTCGCGGGGAGGAAGGTACGCCCTTACAGACTATCCAAATAAAGGCATGCATAAATGATGTGATATGCATAACGTTAGTATACGGAGGACGTGCCTTTCGGGGGTTTCAACTTTCAACGCTCAACCCTAAAATAATTGAATTTCACTACATCGGTCGCCGCTTATAGTGAATCAGTCGCTTATAGTGATCGCAAATGTTAGGAACAAACGGAACAAACAGTAGTTATCAGTGCATCTTTCGCCGCTCACTGTGTTCAGATTTTCGGTAATAGTGATCAAAAGTAGAAATCATACAATAACACGCAAAAAGAAAAAAAGCCTGACAATTATTAATTTACGAATCTAATCTGATCTAATGTATGTGTAACCCACCTAAAGCCCCACAAACACTGTCAGTTTTGACTGTCTACTACGTTGATTGTCATCCAAAACAGACTGACAAACAAAATTTATGACTGGTGCAATTCAAACCAGTGGCGCATCTTGTGGATAAGTTGGCAAAGTGAAATTTTGAGGCCCTGATAAATCTATATATATATATATATATAAAAACAAAACATGCGAACATCACCAATTTTTTTGAAAGAACCTATAAAACTTACGTATGTATGTGTGTAAAATTATTTATTTTGCCGATATTTCTACCTGTTTTTCGAGTCGCTGCTTATAGTGATGGAAAATACTCTCTGATGAATATGATCGCTATAAGCTCATCACTGTATTTTTTTTTTTTTTTGTTTTTTTTTCGGTTATTTATTGTTTTGCGAAAAAATATTTCGACAGTATGAGATAGGCGAGGGAAAGCGTCGATTTTATAGTGACGGAGCTCTGCTGCTGACGGGTGATTTTTTTTTTTTATTTTTATCTTAATAGAAAAATGTATAGCGAATAACCGAGAAAAAAAATATCACTATTCGGAAAGTTAATATGGTAGTAAACGATTTTAGTCGGTGAAATAATTACGTTTCGGGTCTTCTGTACACAAAATTGTAATCTTTCCCGGAGTCGCAACATAAGTTGTGGGCGGATATTATCAAATTTCTCCGTGTATAGGAAATTGTTTTTTTTTCTTTTCATGTATATATACGCGACCGTCTCGCATCACACGACAAAAACAACACATTTTATAGGTATAGGTGGATGCCCGTCGATTCATCTTCCATGTATACCTGCCTGCCTATACCTACAGCCCGGTACCCGCGTATGATAAAGCCGTTATAATTTCTGTTATAAAAAATAAATTACTTTTGTATAGTACCTGTATAATACCTGCCTGACAGTATCATAACCGACGCGGACGTATAAAAAACTATATTTGTTATTGCCTATTATATTAAAAAAAAAAAAAAAAAAAAAAACTAGGTACAAGTTAAGTGTACACACTTAAAGTAAATCAACATTATAGACATTTAGCAGTAAAATAACGGCGGACGGCCGCCATCTGTGTCATTCGGGAATAACGTATTGCGTTAGATTGCGCGCGGGTACAACGATTATTTTAATTTCGAATTTAATTTAAACATTTTCGATTTGTCTATATTGTTTCGTGTAATTTTTCCGTTTCCCCTCTACCACCCCCTCCCCAATTCCTCTCTATCTTTCTCTCATTCTCCATTTTTCTTCGGTTAGTTTTTTTTTTTTTACATATATACACGGACGACGGGCCGCGAGTCGCAGTATGCGTTTTTTTACTCGCTGCACGTTTATAATGCTCGTATAATATTATTATTAGTAGTTGTAGAAGACGCATGCTACGAAAATTATATTATACAAAGACAAACGCACACGCCGCCATATTATTTAAACGTTCGGAGCCGCAGTCATATTATAATATTATAGTCGGTAATAATCGTCGGGAGATAATAATTTTGTGTTTCTGATAAAATAACATTTTTTTTTTTTTTTTTACCGGCTTTGACCTCGGTTTGATAGGTCTGATATAACCCAGTGTACACGGTAAAACAGCTCGTATTATTGTATCTACGTGTATTATACAATACGACATGCCGTATACGTTTTTAAAAACCATTATCCGTGTCTAAAATGTTTCCGTACAGGTATTTTCGGTCTAATATACGTGAGCCCGGGTACATAATTGGTTTTTTTTTTTTTTTTTTGTCGAATGTATACTTACCCGCAACGCAGCGTACGTATATAATATACATATATATATAAAGCTATCCGGCCAGACATCGGGGCTTATAATATTATTATTATAGCTAATAAACTTTATATCGGCGAGCGTACCTGTACAACAGTTCTTATCTTAATAAAAAAAAAAAAAAAAAAAACGTTATTAACTATATATACGCGCGTCGTCGTCTACGGGTTTACAATTCGTGCGTAACGGCCGTCACCGCGATAATACGAAACGTCGCGACGAACATGTTATTATTATTATTTACTTATTTATTTATTATTCCTTGCTATCTTTACTATCTGCTGCAGTGGGTACGGCAGTGCATACATAAAAGTCCAATTTATTATTAATCGGAGCCTGTCTAAAAAAAAAAAAATAATGCGCCCTGGGCACGGAACGTAGGACAATACGGAGACATTATTACACGCACGACCCGTTACATAGGACAAGACCGCCGCAACTCGGGATTCGGCACTTCGGGCACATTGCAAGTAGGGATCGAAGTCCAATTTATTATTAATCGGAGCCTGTCTAAAAAAAAAAAAAAAAAAAAACGGCGGATCGCTCCGTACCGTACATACTGTGTTGGGTGTTGATCTCGACGTCGCGTCGGTGGGTGTCCACGCCGAGAAGAAGAGCGTGACGCCGGCCCGACAGATTTCGCAAACGGGACGGCCGGGAGGGTGGCCGGACTGGGGTTCCAGGCAGGCGGGTTCATAAACGGGCCGGGAAGACGTCGGTGGTGCATGGACATAGTTGTTGATTTGGGTTTGTGTTTCGAGAGTAACTAAGGACATTTATAATAAAACACGTGAACCTGCCCTGCGAAGGGGAAAACGCGGGATTTGTGATTTAGTGATTAATTATCGACGATCGACGGTTATAAACGATGACGGCAGCGGGGAAATATTATAAAAACAGATCTCCTATTGACAATAAAAAAATAAAAGGCTGTCTTAGGATAATGGGGACGGGTGCAGCCACTTTTATAGGTCATTTTATGTATATCTCTAAACAATGGTTGACCATTGCTAACTAAAAAACGACTCTGAGTGCCGAGTGGAGTTCGGTTGATAGTGTTACATTGTTAACAATATATATATATATATATATATATGTCACATTATAATAAAATAATTTGCACATGCATTATAAATTTTCTTTAATAATATTTGTTTAATATTGTACATATTTTCCCGTTATTCCTACGTTTTCTCCCGGTTTTTCTCGTTTTCCAAATATTCTCGTTTTTGGGAAAACTCATAGAAAAATCAAAAAATATTACGGCCTTTTATAAACATGTATACCGAACTCCACTCAAAATCTTTTTTTCGTTAGAAATGGTTAATCGTTGCGTATACAGATATACATTAAATTCCCCCTTTATATCTTACCTTTACAACTTTTCACCTACAAAAGCGGCCCGCCCATCGTGCGAAATATGTCCGTCATTTTTTACTTATATCTATATTTCGTACGTTTTTCTGATTTCCTCCGTTTTTTTCTCGGTTGTTTCCATTTATTGTGAAAACTCCCGGGGAAATCAAAAAATAACCTCCCTAAAGTACTCTTCTAGTCAGATTTCCTTTCAGAAAAATTGATGTCATTGTAAATCGGAGCACAATTGCTGGTAGAAAAGTTGTTTACAGAGAAAAATAAAACATCATTGTAAAACCAATACAATTCTCGGCACCAATCAGAATTGAAAAGGTATTATTCTCGGCGTCACGGTGTCGTGTAAGCATTGAATTTTTAATTTAATTTTTTTTTTCACTCTAACGAAAGCAACACATTTTAAAACATATCGATGATTTGGTTCTGTGGAAATTACACTTCAATAGTATACTTCTGAATAATCGAAAACTTCCATAATTTGTTATTGGTTGGCCGACGGGATTTAAGAATGTAATATTTCAGTTTGTGGCTGTTTTGAATATTTCTTATTATAGTTGAAATTTCAATTTTTTTTTTTTTTTAAGATATTGTGTAATACTGCCGCAGATTAAAATATGGCAGTGTTCCAACTGCAAGAATTTAAAACTAAAAACTGACATACCTATAAATTCTCAGAAATCCAAGACAATATCTTAATACTGTTTCGTAAAGTATATACAACGACAAAAAATGACGTTCATGGTTCATTGATAAAACATACGAATTGGCATTTTGGGAAGTATTTAAAATTTAAAACTCGTTCTTCTCAAAACAATACACATTTTATGTTATGGAGGCCTTGCTTTAAGGGTATCCTTCGCACGATGGGCGTGCCACTGTTGTATAGGTGGAAAGACTCGAAGACGATACGATATATTATAATTATGCACCGCAGGGTTCAATCCAATTTAATCATATGCAAACGAAAAACGATTCTGAGCGAAGTTAAGATGACGCCACACCCACGTGGTGTGCTAGCCGTCTCGGTCTTCGAAAATAATAATATAAGACGTAGCAAATGAACGTTCAGCGTAGACAAATTTGTGCTGCTCGTTTTAATATCACAATGAATTGACCTGTTGTCTACAAACGCAATGATAAGAAAATAATCTGTGCAACGTACAGATATTTTTTCATAATCGTTTTTAAATTGTGGCGATTCACATCTCGCTTGAAAATTTAAACGTCAAAAAAATAACCGTCGTATAGTTACACCTTACACTTACTATGTTATTATCATCGTGTTGAACGTAAATTTACGGTACGTGCCGTTTGTAAGGCGGAAACAGTGGCGTTCTCTTAAACGTGTTTCGATAAACTTAAATTCAAAATTGTATACCTATTAATTTGAAAGTATACCGCAGAATAAATGTTTTTTAATTGTCGATGACGGTTTTTCGTCTCGAAATATTGCATATTATTATGTAGCTAAAAAAGTTTTATTCGCATAAATCGAAAAACAGAAGGAAAACTTTACGATTTTCGTTAAAATTTTAAATTAAAAAACCTTTAAAAAAACCTATTACACTACGCTCAACCTTTAATCATTTTTCTTATTTTTTTTACTTAGTAAAACTTATGATAAACCTCAGGCATTTCTGCTTGGCAAAACAATTGTATACAAATAACACTAAATAAAAATAAACTCAAAAATAAAAACAGTTCAAAAATCGCCAGAATGTTTTAACACGTCAATAAAATCCAAAAGGCTAATTTATGCGGTCTGTGAAAATTTCAGGTCTCTGCTATTATTAACAACAAAAAAGAAAACAATTACAGAAACCGTATTATATTGCGTTCATTTTCCCACGTTATTTTCCGTTATTTGATACCTACCCAATGCACCGACTAGGAATAATTTCCTCCCCAAAACCGAAGATTTCTGGTAGAAATGTTTACAGTCGCAGAAAAGAGCCACACACCACCGAAACGCGCTCGGAATCTAAAATACGGAGAAAATTTGAACTTCGCGTTTTAGCTGGCTCGTATTTCTGCGGTGCGGTGCGATTTCGGACAACGACGGCGGTAAGACGAGCGGTTAAGCGGAAAAAGGCATGAGAAATAAGGAATTGCTGCCAATAGCAGTATGGGAACAAAGACCAACAAGTGAAAAGGCCGACTAAAGGGGGACACTCTGAAAGCGTAATATTCGATTGGACGGTATTGAAGGCATCGGAGAAAATATCGATCAGGCGGTACGATTTTATAGGAACGGAGGAGACCGCAACGTAGCGGACGGAAGGATTTCGCGCCGACAGCGAAAAGGCTCCTGCGAAGAGCTGTCCGACCACGGATAAAAGAAACACAGAATAGGAGAGACGTTACGATATCATTGCGATAATTTATCGTACACGCGTCGAGTAATTTATTAGCGGCGTACGAAGACGTATTTTTCCTATAAGGTGCGATGAATTATTAGTATCGGTTTTATTTTTTATTTTTTTCATCTAGCGATGTAGCGCATACATTTTTCAACCATTTTTTTTTTTTTTTTTTTTTACGGGCGCGCGCGTATAATAATTTATTTGTATTAAATGCGATATTGCAGGTCTGCAGTACTGCCTACACACACGCGCTCTGTAATGGGTTTCTTTTTGCCGCCGCGAGACTGTATTTTATATTAACGCGCAGCGCCGTGTGTCGTCCAACCGTACAGGGTGATCAATCTTCCGGACAAAACGCTGTTATCGATATCCCGCGAAAAAGATCTGTGACGTTGCGTATTATTAATTTTTTCGGAGTTTTCCGTGCACGTTTTCTACCGCTCTGATCTTTCAAAAGACAATATTATTCGGCCGGTAAAAATATTTGGAAAAAAAAATAATAATAATAAAAAAAGGTTAGCCGCGATGCCGCTTGATGGGTGCGTCACTGTTGTAGGCGGCCGGAAGTCGGGAAGGTAACATGCGTACGAGTTATTCGATTTGTATCAGTACAAACAACGACAAACCATTGCTAACGAAAACGATTCTGAGCGAAATCCGTTTACATATATGATTTGGAACGCGTATGAGGCATAATTTACATAATTCGGAATTTGATCTTAAAACCATTATAGAAAAGATTTACTACATTATACTTTAATTTTATTCTTTGACCACTGAGTATACAACTCGTAATGAACTCCGTGTTAAACATTCGAGCATTTCTGTTTGGTCAAACAATATTTTACATCCGCAATGCCAACAAACAGCTCAAAAATCGCCAAAATGTCTTTAAAATATTACCAGTTATTTAAAAATATAATTTTTTTTTTTTTTTTTTAAACACATTCTAGTGAAAACGAATAGATTCCTCGTTAAGCTCCGAATCTAAAAAGCCTATCGCTCAAAACGTATAACTTGCAAACGTCTTAATATGTTTAACTCTACGTATATGACTGGACAATAACCAGTTTCGAAGTTAAATGTTAATTATAACTTATTCGTTTTTAACTCGACTTGTATTTTTTACATTGACTTAATAGTAACGTGTTCATTTCGAATTATATCACCGTCAATTTTACAATAATATTAAATTTTTTGATTGACTTTACCCCAACAACGTTCAAAAAGAACGAATCCACGTGAATTGAATTCCTTTTTAAAGGAATACATCATTTTGTTTTTAAAGGATAGCGAATGCGAGTTGGTCATTTCAACGTCGGATTGCAAATGATTGAATTCGATAAATAATATAATAACGAAATACGAGTGACAATTTTTGTTATGCGATTTATTAGGAAAATCTGCAGTTTTCTTTTATTATTTACAATATTTTTGCGAACAAATTCGTTTTATAATGCATTCCAAATGTTGACGAACGCGTCAAACGATCGTGAACGTGGAATGCGTTACTTTTATCAGCTCAGAATTCCTTTACGAAAACAAAATCGCCCAAACTCTATAGTATTAACTATTTACCAAGTTCGAAAAATACAATTATAAAACATTTCACTTTCAACGTGTAACGATTTTTTTTCAATTTCGAGCCATAACGAGGCGTACTATATAACGTGTTTTTTTCTTTTTAAGTGCGTGGGAGCGAATTTCCTGCAAAAGACCTTTTTTGTTGAATTTTGAATTTAGTTGGTGCATCAAAAGGGTCGGTTTTAAATTTTTTTGGCGATTTTCATAATAATTGAAAAACCCCGTATAAAAAAAAAAAACTGTAAAAGAAAAACGAACAAAATATGTTCGTCATAACGATTTTATTATTAAAAAATTGTTTCTTATTGGTATTTTTACCGGAAATCTCGCCCCGAAGTTCAAGCGTACCGTATTTTCAGAAACGAAATGTCTGTTTAGTTGGTGTGCGAAAAAGACGTCTTTTGAATTTGCGTTTTCCGTTAGCTTTGATACGGTCGGTATTTTGCGGTCGGAATTGTCTGGCCAAATCCGGAACGCTTGAAGATTGAACACGACGCTCGTTACAAGTGTCCGTGCTCGGCGGTCAAAATGAAAAAGTCGAGCGAAATGTAGCGGGGGAAGGGGTTTGGTAGTCGGGGGGTCGTAGACGTTTTAAAACGGAATCCGTTCCGACGCAAACTCGACCCGGGCGTACGGGTTCGCGTGCGCATATTATTAAACGTCCCGGTACCGTTTCGAGTTTTTCTCGGACGACGGCCGACCGCGGACCAATAAATAAATTGACCGTCGTCTGTTCTGCAATGAACTCCGCGGCGTTTTTATTACCGCGCGGTGCGACCGTACGCGGAAACGCCGATAAATCCGAACGACGCGATACGCTGGGCGGCGATCAAACGGTTCCGTTACCCCCTAGTTCACCTCCCGCCACTCACCCCGCCGCACCCCGTCGTCGGCGGCGATGAGCGGAAAATCGCGTAATAACATGTACGCGGGCAATAATAATTGTAACGTGCGCGCGCGGGGCACGGGATCTGTTAGGCGGCGTCTGTTAGGCGGATTTTCTGCGGGCCCGGGGCCCGGTTTGAGGTGGACGCGGTCGCGGCGGCTCGTAAACGCGCAGCGCCTAAAATACGCGTACACGATACCGGTAATAATAATAATAATAATAATAATAATAATAATAATGATAATAACAATATAATAAAATAGGTGTACGCCGCGCCGCCGCGTCCGCGGGACGGGCCAAGAGTTTTTGTCGGCCGGTCGGCGACGGCGGCGCGGCGGCGGCAGGTAGGTACGCGGTGCGCGCGGGGTGATCGGTCGCGTTGTTAAATGGGTTTTAATATCCTCACCCGGCTCCGCCGCCGCCGTCCCGGGCGATGGGTACTGATTTCCCGCGGCCCGTCGACCAATCCGGACGCGGCCGAGGCGGTGCCCGGCGGACGCCCACCGCGGCGGCGGCGGCGGCGGCCGCTGCCGTTGCCGCGCCGCCGTGCGCCGCCCGTCACTCGCAGTCCGTCGAGCGAACCGTGTCCAACCGCTCTCCGCGCGTATTTCATTATAAATAAATACGATTACAATAATATTATCGTACCGGCTGCTATTGCCGCACTGACCGGACCGCGCGCACGCCACACCGTATCGAAATATTATCGCTTGTTCCGTTTCGTACCGTTTTCGACGTTGCGCAGCCGACGCGGTAAAACGCTTAACGCTCGTCCGACGTCCCGCGAAATCGTCGTCCACGAAATGCGTCGTTCGCCGCGTACCCATTAGCCGCGGGGAACAATACTTAAACGCGCATTCATATAAATCGCTCGTCTCGTCCGCGACAATCAACGCAACACGATTATATTAATATTGTTTTTCGTATAGCCCAGAAGACGACCGCGACGCATCATCGTCCCCGTAGTCTCGCGGTAGCGCTCGCGATGGTAGACGACACCAAGTGCAGTTCGGCCGAGGACGGCACGACCACGGACGAGGACCGGGACGTACGCGTCGATTCCGGCGGTTCGGACGAGGAGCTGTGCATGGACGAAGAGGACGAAGACGACGTGTCGCCCACCTCGGCGCCCGGAGCCCTGACTTTCGGCATTTCCCGTCTGTTAGCCGGCGGCGGCGGCGGCGGCGGTCGCGGCCACGACGGATCGTCCAACAACAATAAGCGCTCGGGGTCCATGTCCGCCGGCACCGCCGCGGCCGCCGTCTCCGGGCCCGCCGAGGCGCTCGCCTCGCTGTACGCGGCCGGCCACCACGCGGCCGTGTACCACCACTTGCACCAGCAACAGCAACAGCACATGGCCGCTGCGGCCGCCGCACACCAGGCGGCTGCGGCGGCTGCCGCAGCCGAGGCCGCGAAACAGCCGGCCGACGACAGCGGTAAACAGCCGTACCTGCAGTACACCGGCGCCGCGGGCGTCATCAAAGTTCCCGCGCACAGACCCCATCCTTCCGGCGGCGGAGGCCCGAGCCCGATGCCGTCGCCGTGGGCCTCGGCCGCCATCGATCCCGTGTCGTTCATGCAGCGGAACGCTTTCCTGTTCGCCGCCGACAAGAACCGACTGGCAGCAGGTACGTTTTGTTTTCACATATTTTTTTTTTATTAATACTCTTATTGGTTAGACTTTGGGGCGTTCGCGAAAAGCGATGCGCGTATTCAATAGGCCGTTGAAAATATCATCCGAAACAATGTTAGATACCATATTATAAGTTATAATCAGTAGCTACTATAACTTATGAGTTATAATTTGAAAGTCGAAGTTAATTTTGTTTAAACTTTTAAACTCAATTCGCTCATTACTCTTATCGTCAACGACTGTTCGACTATTTAGTTTCGTTTCTGTCGTATAATAAACTCGATTTTTTACAATATTGAATTACACATTTATAATTAACACCGATCGAAAACGTCTAGTTTTTTAGGTTTTTTTCGAAAATGTATTACAATAAAATATATTTGTAACGTTATTTTCAAAAGTTCAGTTAATCTAACGATTTTCGTTTACATTTTATAACTAACAAGTGGAATCCATCAATTTTTCTAGATGTTCTTACGGTTTACACTAACTGGACTCTCATAGTCGATATTTCCCAGACTCGATCCTTTCATAAACCGAAATTGAATTTAACAATCCCCCCCTCCCTTTGTTTCCCGCCACCGTTATTCCTGACCCGCAATTAATCGTTATTGTTCGGGAATTTCATTGTTATTTAAAAAGCGCACTTTCTGTGACGACCAAATCAATTAATCACGACCGTCTTTAATAATCATTATTGTCAGTTCGTCCGGGTGGTAACCCCGCAGAATTCAATCGAACGAAATAAGTTTCGATCGCTTTTTAAAGACGGTGGCGGTTTAATTTCGCGATAAGAACATCCCTCGTTTCGAGTGTCGGGCCCGCGAACGGTTTCATCGGATTATAGAGACCGGTAAATTTGTAAACAGCCGACCGAATTACAGTTTTCCGGTTCTGTACGATTTAACCTGATCGGGCCGCGCACATTGTTTTCGTCGCCGGCCGTTGTTTACCGCTCGCGAACTCGCTATGTAACCCGTAACGTTTTCCCCTCTCCTCCACCCCTCCCCCCGCCCCGTTTTATCGGATTCGATTTGTTTAACCTCGTTGTTGTATGGTACGCACCCGGCGATACGTCCGCCGGCGCGTCATGAATTATTCAAACGGTCGTTTCGCGCGCACACGACACATAACAATTGTAATACCGACCGAAAAATCGTATGCCGGGAGAGTGTCGTACACCCTTCGTGTAACATCGAGGCGATGACGTTTCGAGCAGATCGACGACTATGGACCGCGTCCGTGTCATCGCGCGTCGATTTCGCGGATTATACGTCGACGACGTTACAGGTACGCGCGGTTGTTACGATACGTTTTGCAACGGTAATAATTCATTGTTATTATTCCGTGAGTGTACACGCGAATTTTTTAATTCGGAAAAAAAAAACCCGATCCACTTTCTCCGGGCCGTCGATTAGGTGTACGCGCCCGAAACAACGCGAGGGGAGGGGAAACAAACGAAATCCGATCGTACGGGTCCGTCGGTGGGGGGTACCGGGGGGATGGCGGAGCGAATGCGAGTTCCCACACGGGACACAGCGGGTGAAAATTGCCCGTGGATACGCGCACGTAATTAGTACCGGCACGAATGGAAATCAAGACGAATACGGATTTCCTTCCCTCCGAACGCATAAGAAATTGCGTCTATTGTTAGTGTCAACTGTCCGTTAATAATCAACGAGTACTGAATGCAATAAAACGGATTGTCCATAAAATGTATAACATACTGATAATAACAGATTATAGACGGTATAAGACCGGTACGCGATTACTACACATGGTGATAGATTAAATTTTATGAATCCCTGGGCTCTGCATAATATCAACTCTGTCTCCGCACTACCCTATAAAATCATTTGCAGTCTTTCTTGTATTTTTGACCGCCTAGCAACTTTAATATTATAATAGTAATTCTGGTACTCTGGGTCCGTGCGCTTTTGTCTTGGCTGTCCTCTGGGTCCGATTAGTCCTTCTGATTTCACGTCCCGTCCAAATCGCCATCATACATATTAATTTACTATTTTTTATTCATTTATCCCTATTTCTTTTCTCTAGCTAATAGCTCTTCGAGCGCCTTAGCTGTCAATACAAAATTTCCATCCATCCGTCTCCTTATCTCTAGTCCGTTTTTTTTCCGATCGCCATTTTCCATTTACTCCGGGTCTTTTTAACCACACGTCCAGTCGACGCTTTCCGGATTTTCGTTTTCCCGTTACCTGTTGGTTTTATATACAGTTGCTCGGATTCCCCTCGACTCCGTTTTCCCACGGGCGAATTATCTCATATTGTGTAGTGCATGCACACGTTATAATTACATAAATATATTATACCGGCAAATCAAATTTACAACGATACGTTTAAAAAAAACTCCCGTTTTTTTGTTATAGCTGGCGTACAAATTACAATAATTCTGATTGTACGTACCTAATATAGGAGTGGGTGATACGGGCAGTATAATACGACGACGATGTACTGCAATTAAGTATCATATACAATACTTATAACTGCGGTATAATTATCATTTTGTTTCTCGTGATGTATAACGTCGTATAATTAGTTATCGCCATTCAATAGCCAGGTAAACGCGTAAATGTTTAAAAAAAACAACAGTGTACAAATCCCTTCATCGTGTCTCGTTCCGTTCCGTATTCTTTGTGTCTGTATAGTCCAATCGGAGTGGCACCCGTGACTAATTATTCCGTGTAGACGACGACTAAAATGCAATTTTTTTTTTAACGATCGTCATGTATAGTAACGATAGCGTTTAAATTAACACCTTTATATACAGTTGAACTTCATCACTGTCGTTGAATTAATTTGCTTTATTCGCGCATTAAGGTGTAGGTATAAAATTAAAAAAAAAAAAAATAATAATAATAACCGCCGCTGCCGCCGCCGCCGCCGCTGCCTCTTTGAAAGTTTATTTATTATAAGTACTTAGGGAGTTTTAATTTTGTTTTCTTTTTAACGCGAGCCATTATTTATGTTACCCGGTTATTTTTTTCCATTCGTGGTAAAATTATTTCAAAACAAATCGAAGAATATATTTTCAATAAACATAAACCGGTACAGGGGCCAAGTTTCCGAATATCACCTGCTGAAAAGGTTGCGATTTAGGGGTTATTTTTTTTTTTCTTGGCTTGATCTAGACCATTTAGGCTCATGGCCGCTTCCACAATCTTCCTCCATGCGTCTCTATGTTTTGCCTATTCTTCTCCATTCAGCATTCACGATATTCTAAGATCTCTTTGAACTTTCTCGCTCTTTCCATCGCTGTCTTGGCCTTCCTCTTGATCGGCTTTTATTAGGTTTCCATTTTATGAAAATCCCTATACGTTGACTCTCTGTCCTCCATACATGTCTGGCACACTTTTATCTCCAGCTCATAAGTGTGACCACTACATTGGTATCCGGAAAATGGAATATGCGTTAGCATAATTAATTCACTTAATTTCCAAACACATTTTTCATTTGTTGATAATTTTTGATATTCCTGTACATGTTATGTAAGTTCGTTATTTTGCGTTTGTAGGGCGTAAAAGAATCAGATTTTTTTTAAGGCATTTTCAAGATTTTGTGTGGCATTAGATCCTCAGGCCTAACTATAATAGTCTACGTAGGTTTTCAGTTTGATCCGTTTTTGCAGTATACTCCGCAGTATAGTCCGCCTGCATTTCCCGTATTGTAGTATAATATACGAATCGCATCTCTTCGCCGTGATCTGTTTAATTTGTTCCATTCTGTAGGTCTTCCTATAGTAGACATATTAACGAATGCGCTTTTATCATCCCCTACTTCCTGTGTATATTGTGTTTGTGAACAATGTTCAGAGAGAAGGATAACGATTATAGTTAAGGACATTCGTGTATTACGCGTCACGAAATTGATTATAAACACCCTCATAGACATACCATCAAGCCGACAGATGGATAAGTAATGACAATATTTCACGGAGTAAATGAAAATATCAAATTATTTCTTCCTCGGGCGTTGCCGATTAGCACTATGTCTGTCATTCGATGTATCGCTTACTCGTTTTCTCGGTTAAAAGCAGAGTCCATTTACACGCCCGATTCTCGTCAAACTTTTCCGTAATGCGTGTTCTTCTTTCCGATACATAATCTACACCAAACAAAACTTAACTTACCCACATAATCATACAGGTAGGTACTTTATTCACCGTTTATTTCTCGTTTGTTAATCTCTCCGATAGCTGTGCTTGTTCTCAACGTTATTCTGTAGCGCCGGGCGCTACCTATCGACCGAGACAAAGTTTTACGACGCGGTTCTCCTGTTGAAAAAACCAAAACAACCGTCATCGATCACAAGTATAGATTGCACAATACGACTCGGCCGGGTAGACCGCGCCGTATAATAATAATCCCAGGTACCTATACGTATTAAAATTAAGCGCGTGAAATTCGGTAAGGCGTTTGGTAGCCGTCGCGATTCATTCGAAATTCGTTACTTTGGTGCGTATATTATTATTTACTACCATATGTCATGATATCGCGTTCGGCATTTTATCGTTATTAATAAAACACGTTTTCGGTATACGGCGGCGGCGAAAAGTGGCAATTACACTAAAAACCGGCCTTAATTGTTATCATCGTCGATGTTGCGGTTGTTATTATATTACAGTAGTGTATACCCGTGGCTTGTTTTCTGCGCGTACGCGTTTAAAACGCTCGTTTCTGCTCGCCGAGTCGCGTTTATATTATAATGATAATAATTTTACCAGAAGCGGTTCGCCGCGGTTAATTAACGTTAACTGCGCGTGTACATAATAATAGGTACCTGTATAGTCGCAGGTTTCGAATTGCTTCGTTTCGCCTTCGTTACATTATTAAACGACACGTTTCCACGGCAGTAATACACGTTTACCGCATCATGCTCGTATAACGAAATGCAGCGTTATATTTTTTATTATTTTTGTATTTTTGTCGACAGTCGAAAACCAATTTTCCGATCGTTTATATCATATTTTACCAGCGAGACGTAAAACGATTGGCCACGAAATCGCGCGATTACGCGTCGTGCAATTCGGTACGCTTTCGACTTGAATGCTAAAATTTACAAAAACACGAGGTTCGCGGTTTGTTTCGTTTTGCGAGCGTCAATTGTAGAAACTTTTCCGCTAGGAAATTTCGTCTAGTCGGTGCGTCGCGGTGGCCATTTTTCTTCTTTTTTTTTATGGGGGGGGGATTTTTCATTTGGTTTTCTTAATAATCGAGAAAAATCGTGAGGAAAAAGTGAAAATGCACGCATTGACAGTTGTTTTTTCGTTTATGATACGTAAAACCATGAAATTCACACAGAATATTCTACCGATTTTCGATCTATTTATAAGCGTTTAAAATATTTTGAATGTTGTTTATTGGGCGGACAAAATTGTTTGAACAAATTTAACACAGGGTTTATTGTCATAAATATTGTACTTAATGATGAAAAAAAAAAAAAAGTCGAAAATAATGTAGTACCTAGTTTTTGATAAAAAATAGAATACGAAACAAAAAACGACGAGTACCTATACAATAGTACCGCCTATAGTCAGGTATCTACTTAAAATTATTTTGTTCGTATAATTACGCGGTGCGTTTTGTCTCTTATACAATTATGACCAATATTTAAAACGAAAAAAAAACTCGCTCGAAAAACGCTCGGAGAGGATCATCGCGTGTTTATATAGCGGCTACCGAATTACTTAACGCGTGTACAGAATTCCGAGAGTGTAATATTAAAAAAAAAAAAAAAAAAACAACACGGGTAAAAAACCGTTTGTATACCTATACAGTTTGTTGATGCGGTGCAGTCCGAACGCATATAATGTAATTACAAGGCAATCTTTCACTGACAGGAGGCGGACAAACGTACAAGTACTATAATATATATACGTACCTGTAAAAAAAGAAAACAATTATTTTTCGTGTAAATATACAGAAAAAAAAAACCACATACACAAAAAGTGAGTGTATATAACATATACATATATTGTGCAAGTAATTTTGTAAATATAACCGTATTTTTTACCGAAACAAAAATTATACGTCACCTTGAAAAACACGGGCTTTGTATAATTATATTCTTAATTATAACAATAATAACATATACGCACGCGTGCACTCGTGTTGTATAGGTTAGGTCAAGTGCCGAAAGTACAAGCAGTCCCGGATTAAGTGCTTCGCGGCAGCAATAGATGTGAGTCAGACGACCGCGGTGGTTATAGCGGGGAAATTTCCGAAGGGGCCGTACCGTAAATTGAGTGGCGTTCCCGAGCACCAACTGAATTCAACCGAACTTTCAGGAAACCCGTCACGGGGATACAAGGCTTTCAACGTGTTTCTCTCTCACATTCATTCGTTTGTAAAATGTTTTATTTCGATAGGGTTTAAAAATTAACCGCACACCCCCGCCCCCTCCCTCCCGGTCTCCGTTAAAATCACATAACCCTAATCTAATGGGTGTCGGAGAATTTGTTTTTAGTACAACCAATTCGAGTTTTTAAAATTTCGTTATAAACGTCTCGGCGGCGTTCACTTCTTAGACTAAAAAATGGACGGATAATCGCATGTGAAATAAGAAGGGCTACCGTGTTTAAATACGTGAAAAAAAAAAAATTCGATACTGCTCGATTCCGAAAAATCGTTCGAATAAAGTGCGACGGTTTATTTCGATTTTCCCGATTCGCGCACGTCGTTCGGTACGAGGTGCAGTTCGTACGGTTTCGGCCGATCCAATCGATTGCAATTACGACGCTTACGCCCGCACACGCCGCGATACGATTCAGTTCGTTGTAATTATGCGCGTTTACATTATAATATACTCCGCCGTGACGTTTGGTAAATTAATTAATTATCACGGAGAACACCGGACGGGGAGCAAAAAAAAAAAAAAAATTAAGCATTAATACGCTGCAATGTGCGTTTTAAACTGCAGCTGTACGTAGCGCGCCGTTGCGCGTTTAATTACATTATCCACTGCGTAATTCGCGCGCCGTTTAAACGTTTTTGCGCAAACTAATTGTTCGAATTGTATTAATAAAATCGAATTAAGCGATGGTTATCAATTCAATTATTAAATAAAATACTAGCGGTTTTTTTTTTCATGTATACATATATATACGAAAGTGCATTTACCTTAATTGCACACATTGTATACGTGCGTAAATACCAATTTTATTATCGTAGGTAGGTACGTAATAAACGGAATTACGAGTGTTTTATACACTATACGGTATACGAAAATCCCGCGTTCGTTTCGGCCCGTTAACTTTTTTCATTTGTATAATATGTTTTTTTTTTTTTTTTTTTAAATGATAAATAAATAAAATAGTAAACTATCTGGTTTTTTTTTTCCTTCGAGCAAAATATCGGTTTAGGTTCGTCCGTGCAGTCCTTCGATCGTTAACCTTCCCGGGCACTAAATTTGTGTATTTAGTGAAATAGTGTAATAGTGAATTTCCCGGGGAAATTCACTTTTCCCGGGCAATACGTACAAATAATACGGTTTTTTTTTCAAGTCTATAAATTATAAAACCATTCATTATTGCTTCATTAGACACTAAAAAAAAGTCGTTTTTGATAAAAAGCGTGACGTATTATCGCGCTGAACCAATACCTCTGAACCAGAAGTCTGATATTATATAAAAACAGGGATGCGAAATAAAAACAGATTTTTTTTTTGTTTTAAACGTGTATTTTTAAATTTTTTTTTGTAAATATCATATTATTTATAAATTATAATAATAGTTGATTATAAATAGAAATTTATCACGGTTATATAAAAACAATATAACAACTAATTGAAAAAAAAAATGGTACTTCTTTATCAAAAAATAATAGGAATTGGTTATTTTCATTTATATTTTCTGAATGAATAGAAACCATAATATGAATACCTTCACTCTTCACAACATATTATAGTTGTTTAAATTGTATTTATAGTTTTGAACATATATACAACGTTCAAGCATAGGGTCTCGTTTAAAATGTTTAAAACGCCTCGAAACCCCATATAGTAGTAACACCACTTTTCGTAGAGTTGCAGGCGTAGGATAAAGATGAATTTGTTTGAATAAAATAAACCGTGGGTCGATAACATGCCTATATAATAATATATATGTATACTGTATCATAAACACACGAATAATAATTGCAGTTGTGTTTTGCATGTACACTTACCTGTACAGTATAATAATTATAATATTAGGTGTACTCCTCGGAGTATTAATTATTAAACCGACGTGGACGACGTGTATTATCTGTAATACGTGTATACATGTATGCGTTTTTAATGTACGTGTATATTATTATTATTATTTTTTTTTTTATGAATTTACATTTAAATATTGGGGAAAAAACCGAGTTAAATACGTTTAGCGCGGCGGCGTTTGCAAAAATGTTAATGGTACGTACAATAATTATTGCCGTATTATAATATTTAAGTCGTTGCCCGTTTGTGTAACCATAATAATAATATCATTACGTGTGTGTTTAACGTTTATTGTTGGGCTCCGACAAATCCGGTTTTTTCATTTTTTTTTTCTTCATAATTTAGTGCGGGTTTTAGCCGTTTTTAGGTACCCATAATTTATGCACTGCTCGCAACGATATAATAGATAGCTGTACAGTCGACCGGTGAATAGTGTATGGGTATTATAATATCCGTATAGGTGTATATACAGGGCGATCCTTGAACCCGAAGTGGCTCGCTATTTTTCCGAAGATGAATTCAAGTAAATTTGATTATATAGAATAAAAATTATTATTGTTTAATCCGCATAATATAACACTAAATTCAATCATTGTACGGTCGACGGTTCGATTTTCGAACAGAACAAACAATATTTATATACATTGAAACTTGAAATCGAGCATATGTTTAATTTTCGTAACACTGTAATACGAACTGTAAGAGTTTGAAACGTAGGTTGAACGAGTGTGCAACAGGGAAGATAAGGGTCACTGCAGTGATGTAAACGTGAAATTGATTACCCTGAATCATATAATAATATACACTTCCGGTCTAAATTTTAAACTGGTACGTGATATATGCACACAATATTAAAATTTCAAAAATATTATAACATTTTAAGATTTCATATCAAACGATTTTTCCATAACCAAATAATAATCAATCGATATTAATCTAGAAATCTTCGCCTAGATAATATAATACTACTTAATTGCGGGTTCTTGATGAAACAATCACTCTGTATAATATATCGTTTTATACTAAATGATGGTGTTAATACACATAAATGACTTAAGGGGACTGCGCGTGACCTGTTTTTTGATTAAAAACATGTTTTAAAGGGGTGGGGGGGAATTCTTCTGCTTCATAAAGTGACCATTTCGTCGGCAATTATATTTTTCTTTAAAAAGATGAAGACTTCTATTTACAGAGTGTATTGGAATTATATTTTGAAAATTATAATTTCAATTATAATTCTAGTTCGAGCATGACCAATCTTTTACTATTTGTTTAACTTATTTATGGTTTTTGTCCAAAAAATCAAAAACTGAAGTCCAAGTACGCAGTAAGGACTTTTCTTTTTCTAAAATGAAAAAAAAATTATTTATACATTAAAATTGGACGTCTCTAAAAGACTGACGGCAGGATTAAACTCTCCTGTTAACCCTGTAATACATGTTTTGAGGAAAAATACAGGTTGTGCGCAGATCTATAAATACAAAAACTAAAATTAATTGCATTTTTGTTAAGAACTGTTAAGGCTTTTTTAATTGTAAATGTTAACAATTCGTACAACAAACCACGAACAGGATCCTTATTGCATAACCCAATCTTATATAAAACCATTTTCACTGCGAAAATACGACGCGAATTCAAACGTTTTGTCGTTATTATATCGTCTCGGAACAAACGAAAAAGGCCTTACAGTAATAGACACATTTTCGGTGTTGACAAGACGCACGGCATAATATAACAGGTCAGGTTACGAACGGAAAACAATAAAACAGACGTTTTCTTTATGTGCGTATGCGTAGGTGCATACGGCGAGGCGATCGTGAGCTCACGTTTACCCCGCGCGTATTTGTGCGCATTAAATATTAATCAGTAGCGTAAAGCACACACACGCAAGAACGTGAAGACAAAAAAAAAACCACTGCAAAAAAAAAAAAATTAGAAAACAAAAACAACTCGTGTCGGCGAGCGGCAATAAGACGAACGTCGTCGTCCAGAAAATAACGCGCAGCTGCTGCAGGTACATCACGAAGTGTCTAGAAAGTTTTTAGAAACTACATATGGGTGCGATAATGATTATTAATAAACTATTTAACCTGTATGAAATCAAAAACAAACACACGACAATGATTTCTTTATAGTAGAGCAAGTATAATATTATTCGAATTGAAACGTTTTTACTTAAAATTCCGAGTAGGTATAGTAAATAAACTTTTTGTTTTAAAAAGACAAGTGCTTTCTTTCTCTCTCTTTCTCTCTCTAGGAAAACACTTTTTCGTTAGTAAAAAAATTGCTCCAATTTTTTCACTCAGTACCTTAAAAGATACGAAATTTCTGCCCGGTTTTATACTTATTTTAAAAAAATTCAGCTTTTTACTTCCTAATAGGTCCTCTTTTTTGTTGTTTAATTTTGTTGATTTCTGGGTTACCTCGGCAACAACGGAAAACTAGACTAATACTACTCTGCTCAGAACCGTTTTTTCGTTTGCAATAATTCAGTATAAATATAAATAAAATAAACCCTGTATATCTTACCCACTTACAACAGTGGCCTACCCATGAGCAGTATCAACTTTATAAAATTGCAATCATAAATTTTAAATAACAAGTGATGGTTAATGATGTAGGTTTTATTTAAAATCGTAATAATTTTGTATAAAATTGAAATGCAAAAAACATCTATCTATGACAGAAGCACAAACTTTTATAATATCGACAAAATATATCATATCCATGCAATTGCCCAAAAGTTTACAAATACAGAGGAATATGCGAAAGTTTGGTTATTTGTGAATATGTTATTGGTCGATCTCGGTCGTTCAGATTATAGGATACGGGCAATTCCCTCGCGGAATCTCACGGAATTATTGTAAAGGGAATCACACGTACGTCAATTGTGGATATTTGACCCAGATAAACTTAAACGAGAATGATGACCTTTTTCAGAATTTATCACTCGCAGTAAATAAGAGTTACTCGTATAAATATTCAAGTGCTTTAAAATATATAATATAACAATATGTTTCAATAAATGTATTATTTATTCGTTTTAATATACTATCGAGGTCAAAAGTAAGGGAAAAGAAGGGAAAAAATAAAAATCCAAAATCGGATCACGTATATAAAACGTCTAGATCTAGATCTAGGTTCGCACCCGAACACGTTATGATATACATATACCTATACATAAGACATAACTATGTAGGAGTAGGACATTTTTTTATTTATACAAATTATTATTATTTTGTCATGAAAAATTATAAAATATTAATATGATTATAATCACTATAATTCTTATTATTATCATATTAACATTACGAAGTAAAAAAGCGAAATATTCACAAACTCGGACTGGTCAAAAAATGTTCACGAAATTTTTTACACAATAAGTGTCTTGTTTTGTCGTTTATAATATTTGTCTTTGGAGGACGCTATACATGCACATGTGAGATGAACGCATAATTACATTTTGATATTTTATATACTCGTATCTCTATTAAAAATTAAAATATATCAACGTTGTACAGTCGCACAGATAATATTCTTATCTTTCAATTTCATAACAGATCAATTCACTTAAATACTAAAACCGACAGCATAAAGATATCCCGCGTGTACGCAAATTTGCTATGTCGTACGTTTGTAAGACGAAGACAACGAGTGCGGATATAAAGGCCAATTAATATTTGATAATAGATGTTAGATATACCGTGATTGTTCAAGGATCTAGGAAAAAGTGTTCACCCAAAGTTACTACCATGAATCAGCTAGATTATAGACTGCTAGCGCTCGTGTGGCAGCGTGAGATTATGTCGAGTTAATAAATTCCGCACATTTTAGTATCCGTATCACACTAGTGAAATATAAAGCCACACGGAACGCGCCGTGTCAAGTTTCTCAACACGTCACATCAAATATTGTGTGGGGTTTCTTAGACATTCACTCACACCGTCGCACGAGCGCTAGCAGTCTAGAAACCGGCTAATTCACGGAAGTTACTTCGGAGAACATTTTTTGACGATTCTATCACATAGGTCATTCGGCAACCACGGTTTTGAAGGTTACAAGTCGTTATAAATCCGCAAGTAATGATCGCGTATCGCGTCCTTTAAATCGCATCCTTAAAAGTCGGGCTTTTACCGAAATTCCAATTCCAATAAACTACAACACAAGACCTACAACCGATTTTATTTCATTCTACACGTATGTCTGTGAACTCGATTTTTCATCTAGGTGCCCACGATAATATCGCGAATAATACAATAGTTTTATTATCTACCTCGATACGATAATACGAATACTTACGTGTCCCGGACTGTTATTTGAATTTCCGTAACAACAGACGCCGCGGCGTATCAGTCCGTCCTCGTAATCACAGAAAGGTCGCCGAATTTATTTGAAATTTTAGCACGTTCGCAAAGAGGTCGGTCCGCGACGGAAAGAGGGGATGGGGAGGAATAGGCGGGGGGAAATTGAAAAACAAATCTTTTACCGTGCACACTCACCTATATAATATTATACGTATATGTGTACGGGTACTATAAATCTCGGACGGCGCGCGCGTAAGGAATACGCAAACAGGCGCGCGTTCGCATTGGCCCCGACGCGTAGAACGAAATTTAATGTGTTAGAGGAGTTTCGCGGCGGCGACGGCGGTATAACCTCAAAGATATCCGTATAAACCTGTCCGGTTTTCCGTTCGTAACGCATCCATCAACTTCGGTTCGCCAGCGCATAACCGTTTATAACCGCGCGGTTGTTTACGGCGTTTAGAAAAAAAAAAAAAAATGATATTTCAATATTCTAAACGCGCGCCGCACCTATATTATATACACTATAAATATCTTGGGTATACTAAAGTATATGTATGGGGGAATAAACGGTTTTTTATTATTATTATTTTTTTTTTTTTTATCGGCGTTTTATACGCGCCGCGGTCCCCGAATCCGACAAGTGCAGTGACTTATATTTCCAAACCGTGTGCGTCCGTACACCGGTATGTATACATTACAGGGTGATCCGTTTTTATCGCGAACCGGCGATTTCCTCGGAGGATTTCAAGCGATGAATATGATTTATTTATTATTTTCCAATCGTCGCGGAATCGTTGAAGCTATTTTTTTTAACGATATTTTCAAATTGTTTACCACTCTACTCTCTTACACATTAAATTAGTGTAATCCCCCGTCCCTCCCCGATCCACCTTTTAAACGCAGAGTGGAATAGAGAATATTTCAACAGTTTGATAACATTATACAATGTATCGTTATTATTATCGTTTACGAATTATAACGGTTTTGAGTTTAAGGAGAAAATAGTGCTGGAATACAGATTAATAAAGAAAAAAAAAAACTTGAAATCGAGTTCATTTAAAATCGTCCGAGAAAATCGCCGGTTCCCCTGTATCGGATCACCCTGTACGTACAATAATAAACAAAATATACATATTATTATTGTAATAATATAATATCCACGTACACAATAAACAAATAGACGTCACCGTAGTTTATGTACAAATAACTGGTGCACTGGCAACCTTCCTACATTTTCGTACGAGCGACTACGTGAATGTTAAATTAATCCGACAAACGGTACACAGCAATATTATTGCTAGCTGAATCGCCCGGTATTTTCCGGGACCAATACTTCGAAAACAAAAATCAATACGAGAAATCCAATTTAACACGTGTCTCGGCGTTTCCACCCGTATCTCTGTTTCACTGCAGTCAATCGTCGTTGCGCGGTCATTTATCTTTTAAAAGGGTTTACTTCCTTGTTCCGTGACAATCGACTTAGACAATACCATCTGTTTTAGATTCTCGACGCCACGGGAGACGTATTAGTTTCTACTATAAATTGTGCTTATTTATTTGTGTAATTTGATTTTTTTTCTTAGTGTCTGTGAACAATTAATTGTCTACTCCGGTATACTCGTACTTTTTCGTAACATTTTGGAAACAGTATTGGTGCGTTGGGAGGTTGTTTTTTTTCCTCGTAGTTTTCATTAGACTTTGGTAAAACCAGGGTAAAACGTACAGGACAAACGGGTGAATTTACGGCACTTAGGACCGCGTCACATTATGCGGTTTTATCGATTTACCACTACATAATATAATTTTCACGAATTTACAGGACGAAGACGAACCCAGTACTTTCGGGCGTTCTGAACTACAAAACGTACGGATCCATAATAACGATGAATTGTAATTGTCTTGTAGTCGTGGGAAGTTTACTTGGCCGCGGGTAAACTGTTCACGCGCTCCTGAGACTTCTATTATTTTAGATTTTGTTTTTCTACCAGAGATCTTGTTCCGAATTTCAAGGATATACTCGTGTGAGCATCTTTTCTGAAATAAAAATCGATGTACATGGAGGGCGTTTTTCGATTCGCATTGTATTTTTCACTACGATAAACCAGAAACGAGGAAATCCCTTGACATTTTTGAAAAAAAAAAAAACAGAAAAAAAAACATTTTTAGTTACACATCATATTATGTACCAATATTATTGGCCATTCGATTTCAAATTTAAATCCGTGAAGAGATTTAATACGTCTGGACATTATATAAAAACCCTAAACCAGATTACTATAATGAAACATTTTTCTTTTTTTATGGTTGGGAGGGGGTATTTACTCAAAACGTATACTCAAAATTGGTACGAATAGGTTGTTATTTATAACAACTATAGCTGTGCGCGCATCATATTATAACGGGCTATAGCGGATTTTACATTCGGTTGCCATGGTAAATCAATACGGCCGTCGTGGTCGATCAACAATAATCGTTTTAGACGGACAGTCTGACAGACGAATCACGGGCTTTTATATTACACAAGATGTGTCGTTCGACTTTTGATTTATCCCGTGTACATCCACTTTATCGGCGTGTTTCTCCTTCAATCAAACGTCTACACTTAAGGTGATCGATGCGATATAAATTGCAGCGGTTAAAAAACTGTACGTACATAAATATAGGTACCCATTTACGCGCAAGTTTATCGACGCGAAAAATAAAAGAAATATAATATTTTCGGAGCAGATATTATGACATAATATTATAAATCCGACCACGCGTGCGCATTACGAGATACACACTGCAATCTCTTTTCGGGCAATCGTTTATTTCACTATTTTTTTTTTTTTTACGCCACTGAAAAACGTACATTTCTCTTGAGTATTTCATCAAAGCGGATATTTTCGAATACAATAATATTATTATATTATCTATACGAATCACACACCGCGTATAGGTATTGTGTGACGTACACCTATACGAACATAATATTATATTTCGAGCACACACGCGTATTTATCGCATTTTATAATAAAATGTACGAATACATATTTCGCAACTTTATATATATATGTATATTTTATTAATATTTTTAAAAGCGAGTACGGTACGCGAATACGTGAACATTAGAATATTGCATATTATTATTATAGGCGAAAAACGACGGCCGTGAACTCTTTGTTGTTCGGCGGCGGCCCGCGCGGTGGTTGCTGCTGGTACGCGTGTATATTATAGAGCCGAGAACGACGTGGAATGCAAAATCCTTTGTATTTCGTACAGTATGCCTAGGCACCTATAATTATCGTTATTAAATAATAATAAAAAAAAAAAAACGAAAATAATAAAAAAAAAATCATTATACACCGGCAAGAAATCACGATTAAAATCTTATATAGTTATAGGTATACTTTATATGGAAAACACAATATCCATTGTAATTTTTTATAGGTACTCGAGGAAACGCCCTCGCCTGTAATAAATAATAATAATATATCGTGTGTACTTAAATAATATATTTATAGTTTTTTATTTTTATCGTGACCCGTAGTTATGTACAGTGTAATACGTATTGATATATGTATATTCTTATGTAACCTATTCGAACCTTTCGGCCGTTTCTTCGATTACATTATCTCGTTATTTATCGCGTTTAATACATTCGTTGACCGTTGGTTTAAGAGTCTGAGCGAAGCGAGTTTTTTATATGTATTTTTTTTAAATTTTAATTTATAGCCACAAAAGACGATGAGGCGATCGACGGAAAGTAAGTATTTCTTTCCGTGTTTATGGTCCTTCTAAGTGTTAAAAAATAAAATATGGAGAACACTGTACCATTAGAACAAACGAGCGGACGTATACCAACAGTACATCAGAAAGGAAAACGTTAAGGTATTTTTCGTAAGTGAAAGGAATTGGGAGGATAATGGAAAACGTAAACGGGCTATGGTGGAGGAAACGGAAGGAAAAACCATTGTAGAGACGGTCTCTGGCAGAAATGAATGCACACGCTGACCTTAAAAAAATGTGGAATCATATAGGACAGAAGAGTGTAAGGATGTGAGATAATAATATGGAGTGGAATCATACGGAATCTACAGTAAAAAAACGGAAATAAAATGTTCTAGTATTTGTTGGAATATTAAATTCCGGAAATAGCTGTATAAGCGAATTTTGTGCGGGCAAGTAATCCACGAGAATTCTATTGATATTCTCTGAACTTCGCTACAACTGTACCGTCTGTACCTATGTACCCTATGTACCCCTATGTACTCTATGTGTCTTATTGAAAACAGTTTCGAATTATGTCAGAACACACTCCTTTAATATGCAAATATATTTATTATTCATTCCCGACTTAAACTAAACGAATATAAATAAATGACTAAAAAAGAGAACATTTAAATGTTCACTTGCGTCTGGTTATATTGAACGACTAAAACTATGTCCCCCTATATTTTATAGGCATTTAAGTTTTCCCGAGCATAATAATTACCACCTACGTAAACAATATATTATATTATATTTTGTTTTCGAAACAACTACGTGTATATATTTGAGTCGAAGAGGGTTATGCGCAGTTACCCTGCAGGGAATTATAATAATTATGTGCTTACGAAAAAAAAAACGACTTGTTAAAATTACAAAAATATGAAATTGAATCGGAGACTGAATAATATGGGGGGAAAAAGAAAACCTTTTGCACACAGTATTACAATACAATTACTGCTACCATTAAAATAATATGGAACATTAAAAAAAAAACTGTTCTGTGCACGGGCTATTATTATTTATTAGAGATTTATCAGAAACCTAAAAGGCACAAAAACGAATTTCGGGGCTGGTTTTCTGCTGTCGTTCGCCCGATTTCGTCTATATCTACAGGGACGGTGAACTTTTTTTTGGGCCCAGTGCCAAAATGTTGTAATTAAAGTGTTTAAAATTGTTCACCTGAACAAAAAAAAAAATGTTCATTCACTAAGGATACACATTGTGTATATTTTCTCCTGTAATTTTAGTTGGTATTGATGTTCATTTAGTAAGTTTTCCACGAACTTCGTCGTTATCGCTGAATCTAGAAATTACTAAAAGACTTATAATATCTGGACTTTCATCGATACACACGGAATGCAATTGTCATTATTGTGTAAAAATGTACACAATAGATTTTGTTTAAATTTTTTTCGCGCGCCATTGAAATTCCGAAGTGTCTTCGGCGTGCGTGCCGCGGGTTCGTCACCAGGGCCGTAAGGATGGCGGTGAGCAATATCTGGAGTGGCGCAAAAATACCTCGAAAACCGAATAAATATCGCGTTAGAAAGATATTAATAAACAAAAATTGTGAAATTTAGAAAATCCGATGGTGAGACATGATTTATAATATTAAAACACTCGTTTGATTGTAGATTTTAAACGTTTCTCTAGGCTCCGTGTTTTCATTAAAAATTATAATTCATAAGGGCGCGCTACGTTCATGTTCGCCCACCCTCGGCCTGTACCGCCGGTTATTAGTACGCGTCTTTTTCGCCCTCCACATGAAAATTTCCCGACTTTGCGGGGACGGTGCGCGTGCGAGAAATACGTTTTTCGCGCGTTCACCGCATCGTCGTCGTCGCGTTTGTTTTACCGGCGGCCCTCGCGCGCCGCCGTTGCTGCACCAGTACTGTTGTAATCCGTATGCGCGCGCGCGCGCGCGTGAAACAAATCGCCGATCCGCCAAGCTCATTACCGGGCCCGCGGAATTTCGCGTTTCGCCGTTTGTTAGAACATCGCCCGATTAATGTGCCGGGTCGAGTTTTCGAGCAGCCGCGCGGCGCGTTCGGTTATTATTCCCGAAACGGGATTCAAACGTATAGTGACGCCGCGGTGTTGCGTACCCCCACCCCTCCCCCCCCCGTCTACCCGCCCGCGCGTGTACGCGCCGCGGTATTACACGTGCAACGCGTATAAAAACCGGAGAAGACGACGGCGGCGGCGGCGGCGAGTGATGCGCGCGTATACAGTCGAGAAGCGCTGCGCTTGGTAGAGGGAAAAGCCGTGTGGGCGGGTGTAATCGTCGGGTCCGGAAGGGGGGCTGACTGATGTACACGCGTTACACGATAATAATGTAATATGGCGGCAACTCGTTTCCTCCACAGGTTATTGCGACGCGCGGCCGCGGGCGGCATGGGGGCCTACGGGTTTTATGTAATGAAAGTTTTTCGACGTAACGGGTAGTCGGGTAGTCTCCGCCGGCGTCAGTTATAAATGCCGAACGTTCCGTCAAAAAAATATTCCGACCCGGCGGCGGTAAAACCGTCGGAACAGCCCGGGCAAAGTCCCGCAACGACCGCCGGCAGCAGCAGTGACGGAGGTCTTAATATTTCAGTTTCCCCTATCTAAATATGATCGTAACATAAACGCCGTAGGTTAATCCTCGACTCTCGACTGACGAATGTATACAAGTCCCGAATTTCCCGTCTCCGCAAAGTCATTTTATGGTGTATTTCCGAGCCGCACTATCGTACAACCGCCAAACACATACCGAACTGCTCGTGTACAATAATCACTTGTTGAACCGATTTAGATCTAATATTTGGTATCCGCTCGTACACTCGAGTGTAAAGGCCAACAATTTTAGCTTTAATGGAATACAATAAGGTTTCAAACGCAGTACTCTCAGAAAAACGACCGATTCCCCGCCGTCAAAAATGAGGTACAGTCGTTTTTATTGTGATTTTTTTTTTTTTTAAACAGTTGTAACTTTTGAATGATAATTTTTCTGAAAAAACTACGTACAGCCCTCGTAAACGTTCTCCTCTTTAGTTTTTGTACAAACTCTATTTTCAACTACACGATTTACGTTCTAAGTAACGTAATTTGACTATTTTGTCAGTGAGATTGTTTTAATCGTCGTTTAGACTGAGAAAGTAGATGCGGGTGACAGTCTTAAGCGAAATTGCTGTCTCGGTCCAACTAACGCGGGGAAAATAGCAAAAACATTATACTTATTACGCTGTCTAAGTAGAACTCTCTTGATTTTAGTTTTAAAGTAAAACCGTCTATCATATAATTAAAAGAGGACGATATTCCGGAAGGCAAAACGCATCGTTTATAGTTTTAAGTTACGTTTGTGGAAAAATTACATTCGTATCATAAAAATGTCGAAATAGTCGTTATTTCTATAAAAGTACAATACTGAGCGTTTGTTATTGGAATAATGGAAAAAACGCATCGCGTTGTACTCCGGAATATTGTCCTCTATTGATTATATTGTACGTGTATAGTCTAGCCGATTTTACCACCATTATTGTATAATTAGGCGAGTTCTATTCAGACTGTGACGTATCTTCTTAATAATTAAATAAAAAAAAGTCTGATACTGCCGATGAATATGTGACTCTTTTAGGAAGGAAGTCGGAAGAAAGAGTATATAGAGTAATTTTATTTGAATTTGTACGCAAAAAAAACCATTGCTAATGATAAACGACGTTGAGAAGTTGCCAAGACTTGTTATTTGTTGCTAAAATAATCCAAAATCAACAAAAGTTGTTGGTTTTCCAAGAAAAAGTTCGAGGAAAATCAAAAAAAAACCTAGCCAATACAACAACTAGATCGAAAATTCTGTACAAAAGTTTTATAAAGTTCTCGATTGAAGTGAGATGTCTGGTGGAAAAGTAGTTAACAGGTACGAAAAAAAAAAAAATAAACACACACCAGTAAAACCAATACATTTGATAAACTATATACATAGAAAGTGACACAAAAGATCACAGCGTATCACGTTATCATGCAGTGTTCGGATCTTCTCTACACCCCCGGCCAATGTCGTAGTTTTCCACTATACCGTCGGCGATGTTATGTCATAACCAATACAAAGTGGAGAACTGAGCGAAGTGAAGAAATATTTAGAGCGGGATGAACGTATTAACAAAAAAAAAAAACCGCGATCGTACCGCTATCTACGAGTACCTAATGTGTTATATTTTTTCCCGACGGTAGACGGTTTCCGTACCACGGTTCGAGTATAAACCTGCAGATTTTTAATCACTTCCGGTAACGTAATAAACTCGTCATAGTATTATCAGCTCTCTGCCTCGTAACCACCCGTCGTCGCGGATAACCGCCATAAAACACCCGGGAAACCACTCGCTCCGACGACACTCGCACACGCTCGCAACGCGCCATAACCATCACGTAGTTTTTGGCGTTATTAAATTTTTACTCGGATTTACGCTCGCGGAACGAATATTATTTATACAGCACGCGGACATATTTATATTTAATAAAGCCGAGTATAATGTAATGTTTGGACCGGTGAGAGGGGACGGGGCGCGGGGAAGGGGTGCGGAGGAGAGGTCATGATTTTCGCATTGTGTTCGCGTACCGTTTTTATTACGCCCCCGGAGATGATATTAACAACTGCAGTAGATAGGTATATATATATATATATATATATATAATAATAATAATATTATTATTATTATGTACAGTGTGTGCGTGCGTAATACAATATAATATAGTGGGTATACCTACCCATACCTACCAATGCATACCTGTATAATAATATCGCGGCGTTTGAATTATCGTTCTGCCGCCACCGCCGCAGTTTTTTATATCGATCCCCCAACGCCGCCGACGCCGCCTCCGTACATTGTATAGGTAAAAAATTATTATTATATTATGCGGCCGGAACAACTTTGCACCGCCACCACCACGACAACACGCACCTAAAAAAAAAAAAAAAAAAATTAAAAAAAATCCCCGTATACCTCGTATTATATATAATATACAGGGTGCTCGACAACGATGATTTACAAGGTATATTAAGACCGCGTGTGTGCTGTAGGGGAGGGAAATAACCTGCCGCCGCCACCGCCGCCGCTTTTTCAAATTGATCAATCCCCTCGGGACCGACTCCCGCCCCCCCGCCCTCGTCACATACCCTTGCCTTTAAATGACACGGAGTGTACAATATCATGTCGCGCACTTTGAAATTGGACGATTTACCGATAAAAATTAACTTTACGATAATAATTCACTTTTTTGTCGACCAGTGACGCGGTATCCGCGTATTATAATGGCCTTATTTGCGCCATAAAAAAAAAAATAATAATAATAATTTTATTATTATAAAAATAGTCGTGGAAGGATAAGCGAGATGAGAAGGGGAAGTGAAAAATATTTTTATTAAAAAAATTAAAACATAAATATAATAAACGATAAACGTCTTGGAAAACATGCCGGAGGGTAATTCCGAAACTTATATAATGACCAATTAAAATTAAGTACACAATATTTTAAATAAGTACCGTATTTGCGGTCGCCAACATAAAAACTGGGTACTGCTTTCCACGGGTAGGCCATTGTTGAAGGTGGGTAGTCGAGCAGGTTAGATATTCAGAGTGTTTAGACGATTTATAATTATTTGCATCATTACGAACGAAAAGTCGATTTTAGGCGGGGTAATAATATTACTTCTGGTTTTTTTTACTATTATACAATAAGGTGACCTGGAAATCAAACAAAAAAAAATGTATGGGGGGGGGATGAACCGCTAAAAAATTCGATATATTTTTTCAAACAAAATATCACTGGCCGGACGTTTTACATATTTCGAAGTAAAGTGCGTGAAAAAACTATTTTTATCAAAAAATTTTACTAACCGTATATGTGTTTAAGAAAAATAAACAAAAGTGAACTGAGGACACGTAAAGTCCAAGAAAATTAGTGTAAAAACCTTTTCGCACATTTAACGAAAAAAAAATCTGATATTGCTGATGAATGCTCCACTGTTGTTGGTGGAAATTTGGGAATATAGAGTTATTTATTCGTATTTTTTCTGAACAAACTTCGTTTATACTTATTTTGAAATACCGTAATTTTTACGATCATCGTCGAAATTTGATCTTAAAACTCTTATAAAAATAAAAATAGACCGATAAATTACGCTCAAGTTTTTCTTTTGACCATTAAGCGCAACCTATAATGGACCTTGTGTTTAATTTTCAAGGAATTATTTTTGGCCAAAACAATTTTATCCGCGCATAAAGCGCTATTGTGTTAATATCTATATATTTGTAAATAGCTTCTTCGTTGTGCTCGTGGAATCTAAAATAATAAAAAAATTATGTAAAATTCTCTCGCCGCTGAGCTGTATGCGTTGTGAATTATATCGTGTATACGCGAGCATCAGGTCTCGCATCATCATTCTGCCATCCATCAGCGGATTTATACTGTCTTGACGGCGGCGCAGAGCGGTTTTGACACGTAAAACGTTCGCGGAAAATTAATGAATCGCGAAAACCGACTGGAACTTGATCAATGGACTCTATTACAGGCGAAACCAATATACGTCGAGGTTTGTAATAATATTATTATCGCGTACTCACCGCAGCTGCCGCGGCCGTATGTAATACATTATAAATGTATAAGCCATCATGTATACTGTATAACGTACCTCATCTACCTATTTCGATTGGATATATGAATTTAAAACGATCCATTAATAAAAATATTCGCACGCATTAAAGCTGGAAGAAAATTTACGGATTCGTCACATCTCCGCAACGGGCAACTGGCATAGGAGAGCTGTGCGGTATGACGATATTAGCACTGATAACAATAAGTTGCGTTAAGGGCCAAACGATTCAATGTGTAGGGCGCATAATAAAAAGAGCCGAAAACGAGATGGACGGGTCAGCTATGGAGTAGAAACCTCGAGGGAGAAGACCTGGGGAAAGATAGATTGACGTTGTAGACGAGGATTCGGAAAACCCGGGAGTTGAATACTGGAGAAAGGCAATTAAAGGTAGAGACAGGCCGCGAAGTGATGGCGCAAAAAAACGTTTATAGAGAGTAATCATTACACTATTGGAAGAAAGAGAGAGACAGAAAAACCTTTCTTATGCCTTCCCAACTTCCCAACTACGCCAACAGCCATGGTGTACAATGGCTAACAGTGATGGGCATTGCCTATAATAGGCAATAAATATGTTCGGGTCTTTTAATTCAAAAAAATATATTTATAATACAAACGGAAACTTATATTATATTGTCACCATCGTCGTTATTTACGTTAATTTATTAGATACCTTCCGTTTAATTATCATAGTACGGTCGAGAGTAAAATAATTATTACTCTTTACGTTATTATGCCACGCGTACTTATATAAATACAGCTGGTATATAATGCGGATAAGTGTATACACACGCATAATATTATGGCTAATGAAAAGGACGAGTGTATATTATTGAAAAATTAAAAATTAAAATAAAAACGATACAATAACGCGGAAAGGAGACCGCTGACCTATAAAAAAAAAAAAAAAAAGCGATATAAAAAACTATATGTGGGGAGAAAAAAAGATACGAACTCATAAATATTCATAATATAAACAGAGAAGTTTTCATAACACGTCACGTATGTCTACTTATTAAAATTGACCGTCGGCTTGCGCGGCGCCTGTTGCAGCACGTCCTTTGTCGTCGAAAAAATGAATAGTTAATTATTTTTAAAATTCATATCCATTTTGCTATATACAACCACATCATACCCTGCTGGTATTTGGATTATATTATCTATAAAAAATCATCTAAAATAATATTATCCATAGATAACAGACGCGTATATTATATTTTACCTGTTTGTCTGCTCAAAACGTGGCTTACAGGGTTAACTCTCCTAAACCTCCCACCACATAGAAAAGCCCAGTGTTCGTGCTATTTCTGATAAGAGTATGACTTCCAACGGGGAGCATTGTATTTAGATATTAGATTCGGAGCGGAACGAGGAATGTATTGGTTTTACAATGATGTTTATTTTTTTTCTGTGGACAACTTTTTTACCAGAAATCTTGAAAATTTTCAAGTATAGCACTTTTTCTATCTGACTGGGATGGTACTATAAGGAGGTCATTTTTTTGATTTTCTCAGCTGTTTTCATAATAAATGGGAAAAACCGGGGGAAAACATGGGAAAAACATAATAAAAACGGGAAAATAGGTACAATATTAAACAAATACTGTGAGAGAAAATTTATAATATGACATATATATTGTTGACAAAGCGACACTATCAACCGAACTCTGCTCAGAATCGTTTTTTCGCTAACAATGGTTAATCGTTACGTACGGATATACATTAAATTCCCGTCTATATCCTACCTTCCCAATTTCCCACCTACAACAGTGGCTGCACCCGTCTCCATTATCCTAGGACAGCTATTTTTAATATTATTATTATTATTATTATTTTTACGAGTGCACAGCTTATATACGCTGTTCGGCATTATATTTTATACACAGATATTATATTATATAGGCTCGAGTTCGGTCCGCTCGTGATGTAAAACACACTTGTAAATCCGTTTTCTCGTTTAAAATGCAAATCGGAACAGATAAATCTATTCGTGTGTGTGTGTGTGTATAGCGGTGTAGTGCATTGCAGCGGACGTGCTCGGTTTTTTTTTTCAACCCTGCGGAATTTTTTTCTTGATCGAAAACTGGTAAAACGGCGATAAAATATAATACACATCCGAATATATTTACGAACCCGAGTCGAAACCATAATATTATAATACGAGTATATAGTTTAGTACCGCAGTATTATATAATATTATGTATATTATACGGCCGACTTTTTGGCAATAACATTTTCGCATTTTATACCGTGTTTTTACACCGCATTTAATCCGAAAACCCGGCTCCGATATTTTTTCGATTGTATCGATTCGGCGGTATATTTAGGTACATTTACTAGTCGTCGGGCTTTAGTTTTTATTGATGAGACGGGACACCCGGAATGTGTTGACGCGGCCCGACATGGCAACAAACGTCCTCACGCATACTCGTTTGATTTCGCGATGCGGGTTTTTCGTTATTCCTAAATATTATTCCGAATATACTCGTAAAGATACTCAGTGTACGTCGTCTAGAATATCGGCTATTTTGACGGTTTTAAATCGCTGTAATATTAACGAGTATTAACGGGGGAAAAAAACAACGCGTAGTCTTACCCTCCGGAATATAGTCCTTTGTTGTAATTTTATTGTTGGCGAATTTTACTTTAAAACCGAAATCAAGCGGATTATACTTCGCAGTCTGCGTACGAACGATTTCGCTATACGTCGTCGTCCTTTTAGTCGGACCGAGGCACCGCGGTTCTTGATCACGATTATTGATTATTGCAGATTATCGGTTGCATTGTACATAACAATTATTATAAATAAACGGAGGTTAATTCGAATATTCTGACGTTTTCCGTGTATACATCTGTACATAATTATGTTATAGTAAACGACCAACACGAATGATGACACGTTTTTTTTTAATTATTCTTATTTAAACCTATATAACACTACAACATTCATTAAAGCGTAATACATTTTTTTTTTTTTATTAGCTACGTACATAATATCGGTTTTCACTTTTAAATAATTTCTACCGTTTTATCAACTATCAAAAATACATTCATCTTTATCATTATATTATAATTATTATATGTAGCCGTATAAGTGAATATATTATGCGCATATAATTATAATATCACACGCTATACAAATGTATTTTTGATATTCTTAAGTGATCAATAAAATATTCAGGGCTCTTAAATAGTTGAGCGAATAATGTATACAAACACGCCTGTATAATATATAGTTTATCAGCTATCGTCGATATCTATAATTTTATAATCTGATCAAACAAAGCTATAAAATACTTTTAAAATAGACATACCATGTATTTTATTTTTATATATTATATACTTGTATATTTAGCGGACAATCATTTACATTTAATGTTATTTTTTTTTTTTTTTTTTTTAACGACGATTTTCAACAACATTAACAAAATATAATAGCAAATTACGTTTTATTCCTCTCTAGTAAAATTCAAAAAGCAAACATAAAAACATTTGAAATTTTTGATAACACCGTCGTGAATTAAAATCTTTATATTTATAATAATAATATATCGTACTGAATTGTTAAACTTTTTTAATGTCTACAAGGCCGTAGTCAGGAAAATTATTCGCTGAAGACTTGCTGTCATCACACAAAATCTCTTCATCATGAGTCTTCTTAATAGTAATTTTTTTCTTTATTTTGTCTATTAGTACGTCTATCATTGAAAGCCATCAGCTCTCCAAACGTGACCGAACAATTCTAAACGTTTGCTTTGTACAGAGCATAGAATATTTGGCTTAGTTCAGCCGTCCACACAAACACGAACAGAAAAATTATGCGCAAATAGTACAAATATTTTGGGCGAGCCCATAACATCCCGTAATATTGATTTTGTACGCTCAGTATTTACTCGATTTATGGAGATTCTTGGCTGAATTTCGGGGGAGCTTAACTGCCCCGCCGCCTCCCTATTTGTGCTTATGATTAGGATGACCGTCACAGCCGTGACCGCAATATTCCACCAACGCCTACACCCAACCGACTTCATTTCACAGCAGCAGCACCGTTCCCCGTACGCGTTACAAGTCACAGGAGAAACGTATAAAACGCAAAATACGAAACGTGTCGGCATCGCCACGGACGGCGGCGACCGTTTAATTTTTCAAAGCCAATTACCAGCGACGGTGTATTAACGACGTTTTCGCGATGTTTTATTAAGGACACGGGAGGCGCTTTCGGCGTGATGGCGGCGGCGGACGAGAGGCACTATAATATATAATATATATCGCGGCGCGTATACGTATAATCCGTTTAACGCCTCGGAATAATTAATCACCCGGCAGTCTTACCCGCGTTCGTATTATACACGCGTATATAATATGCCGGGCGAAAGTTAATTCGTTACCGGACGAATTTCCGAAACGATTTGACGGCTCTCCCGTATACCTACCGCCACCGCCGTACCCGCGCGCGGTCGGTTTTTGCGGGACGCGTTTATATTCTCCTTGGCGCTTCGCGTAAAACTCTGGTGGGGCGCTAATTCGATTACGCCGCCGTCGTCGTCGTCGTCGTCGTCGTCGTCGTCGGTCGTCCTCCTCGCCTACTACCCTCCCACCACCGGCCCCTACCCCCTCACCAGACCCTCCGTATATGTATATAGGTATGTATGGTATGTACCTTAAGCATAACATTGCGTATATATAGCGGTATAAAGCTGGCGCGGGGTGTTGCGCGCGGGAAAGAAAAGAGGAGAGGCCGTTTTCGTTTTCGGGCGGTTATAAATTAACCGAAACTTCTCCCTCTCTTGTGCGTATAACAATAATTAGTTGGTAATTTTAATGGGTTTCACCATGGATCGCGCGCATATTATATTATTACGTATAATACGGCGGCGGCCACGGATTTCCATTAACCCTCTTCGTCTCTCTCTCTCTCTCTCTCTCTCTCTCTCTCTCTCTCTTTCTCTCTCTCGGCTCTCTCTGTCCACGGATCCCTCTATAATCAATCTGCCCCCGTCCCCGCAATTACATCCCGTGGGTGTTTATGTGTGTCCCGTGTATATAAAAGGGCGTAAATTCCCGTCGGAAACGAATATTTTACGCAGGAAACACTCGCTAAAACTCAGCGCGTATTTGTTTTTATTTTATTTTTTTTCCATCTTAGAAATTGTTATTTTTGTACGACAACAAATCAAACGTTTCCCTGTTAAACCGATATATATATATATTTGGTCCCACGGAGCAGAAGGGCTCAAGTCAATTTTGAATGGTTTTCGATACAAGCAAATTTAATTTCGAAAATTGCTAAATAAAGGCTAAATATGACGTTCTAAATGGCTCAAGTCATATTAAAATAACTGTATAATGACATCCCGATAAAAAAAATGCCCATTCGATATTAGTGGCTTATGGTGTATTAATTTACAGTAGGTATAACATGTGTTATACAGTCATATACTATTTATGCCGGAAAATTACATAAAACAAAATTATAAAAAAAAAAAAAATGGACAAAAATTCACTCAAGCCATTTTTCCCTTGGCGAAAATTATAGGAATCATATATTCCCCCAAACTTACACGCATTTCGAGGTTAAATTACTAAACAAAATACGGCCGTTTTTAAGCCAGTGTAGTGGGAGAAGGACTGTAATCCTCAATTTACATTTGTATTTTTTTTTCATCATCTACAAAATGCGCTGTAATTCCGTTGGGAAACTGTTGTCCGGTGCGCCCAGGCGTTATAAAACAATATACTTATTATAACATCCTTCGACCGGTAACAATATTATTCCGCAATAATAATTATTACACAGGTATATAACTAATAGTTTATAAAAATATGATATTGCGTTTCGAAACGACGACGCAGGCAACTGTAATAAAATATAACTGTATAATTTCATAACATTATAATTTCTATAATCGATTTCGTATTATAATATCCCGCGACGGGTCATACAAATTATAATAATATGCGTTTGGAGTCATAACTTACCTACCTATATACTTATGTATTGCCGTCAAGGCTATAAATGTTTTCGTTTTTAATCTGTCCGAGCTGTTTTCTCGACTATTTCATGTATAATACCTCGTCATTTTAAACACTATTATAGTAAATATGCCAGTAAACATAAATTATAATTGCGTTTGCTATGTAAGACACTTCGTGATTAGATAGAAAAAAAAAACACCAGATAAAACCCATCCAAATCAGAATAGTATTATAATTTACAACAATTTGTAATTAAATATTACACATATGCAAAATATTATTCGTCTCAACATTTGAACACATACAAACATACCTATAATATTAAAATTTGTCACCAATCGCAATAGTTTTCTCGTCCATACAAACAGGTAATGTGATTAAAAGTATTCAAATACTTTTGAATACTCAACTACGTAATTTAAATACACTTGAAAAAAGTACTTGGACAAAGTGTGTAAATATAATATAGTATACAGTATACATTATGTATTATGTGTGTCACATGTTCCACACATAATATATTAATAAGTTTCGTGGTTGTAATTTTCGTTATTAATCCGGATGAAACGCGTATACCTACCACCGACAGCGTGACGCATACGCACCTACGACTTTAACTACGGTTTTCTACAATATATACAGATACACGATAGTTGATTGCCGCTGATGAATTTCGGCCGATAGATTTTGGACTCGAGACGGGTATTATATTATTTAAACTACTATATAGTATATAGGTGGGTACGCGCTATACCTACACACAATTTTACTATTATTGCCTATAATTTTTAATAATAATAATATTATAATCTCGTACATCATAATTGATAAAAACTGTTATGGACGAGCTGCTGCGGCGTGTGCACAACACGCGTTCGAATCAACGACATTAACGATACGCGAGTAATGATGATGGAGAAGGGCGACGCCATTTTGGTTTATTATTTTCACCGGTAGATTCACTCCCGTCATCACGTCCATCGTGTGCAGCTACGAAGGGCACACACAATAATCGACCAATGTCCCGTTAGGTTAATGGACGCGTACATGGGTTCAGGTATACCCAATTGTAATTAGAGGAGAGGGGGGGGCGAAAGACTGGCCGGCCGCGGTCATGTATTATTATCATTGTAGAGAACGGAGCTATAAATTCATGTAACGCACGAAAAAGAAACCCTAGGAATTTAAGGGCGCATGGGCGTTCATTGGAGGTGGGGCGGGACAAGGGAGAGACGTGTCCCCCGTGGATTTTCCGTGAACAATTTAACAAAATAGTCGATATCGTTAAAAATTACGATTGGAAAACGATACGTTGCCCCCAGCCACAGGATTTTGAATATAGACGGTCCTGCATGTGTTGTATAGCTTAATTTTGAACATTTGATATTTATCAGATAAAAACTTCCCTATACAGTCCGCGAGTAATACAATTCAATTTGTTTTTAGCCAATGTACTCCCGCATATCCAATGATCCTTACACCTTCAAATTTCAATATAACCATCGAAATTTTTTTTCGCCTAATGGATCACTGCAACTATACATTAGACGATGATCTCAACGCACTGTAATTGTGTATATTAATACGGATTGAGGATATGTTAAAAGAAAACCCCTCGGTCGGGAAGAAAATCATCACCTCGTCGACACGCAACTATAGATCCAAAACGATGCAAAAATAAAAAAGTGATCTATTGGCGTCAATAGCGATCGGAGCGAGATTTTCGGGCGGTAAAGCGCGGCCGTTAAAGACGTCGACGGAAACATAAAATGAAATAGCGCGCGCGTCATAGTAAAACCGATACGTTTCTCGCCGTACGTTCGGCGAACGCGTGTAAAGAACACGGAGAACGGTCTGACAATAATTGTTAAGGCGCAATAATGATTTCCCCGTGCAGCGGCTCCGTAAGCAGCCAGTCGTCGTCGCCGCCGTGCCGTAACCGTCGCGCTGCTCGCGGTCCAAGGCGGGGTCGGCACGGGGGGCCGCCCCTCGCGTCGCCCGCCGTCGGGACCGTCGTACGGTCGCGTTGCTCACGCCCCGCCCTGCCGCGCCGCCGCCGCCGGTGCGCGCGCGGAGCGGTTTTTTCCTCGCCGCCGCATAAATCGCCGGTAAAAAAAAAAAAAGGAAAACACACCAACCCCCGTCCGATAAATTATACGCGCGACACTAAACGACCCGCACGCACATACCGCGACGGTGGCCGGCGGTACGCCGCGGCATACCTAATGTCATGCGTGCGTACGCGTTTGCGCGCGGGTATAATGCGCCGTCGGCGGAGAGGACTTCCGATTTGCGATTCGCGCAGCGGGCCAATAATATCGCCGCGCGGATGGCGCCGCAATTCGTGTGTTATTATCGTGCGCCCCCCTCCCCGTCACCCCCCTCGCCCCCACCGCCACTCATCCGCCATTCGCCGCCGCCCCGGAGTATCGCGCGTGTATGACATGTTTTATATATGTTTATTATTACTGTTATTATTGTTATTGCCCGTTGCGGGTTAGCTCCGCGGATATGTACGGACATATAAATACGCGTTTAAAATTATGCGCGATACGTAAACGATACAGTGTACGATTTAGCGAGTTACGCGCATAACGCGCTATGCGGGTCGTGTACGTGCGGTCGAGCGCGACTGCGCGGGAGGGATCGCGAAATACCGCGATTCACCTCTCCCCTCCCTCCCCCTCAACGAATTTTGTGCGGTACGTCCGCGCCCCGGCTTATAACGAGCTGCAGTGTAGGTACGCGGATCTAAACGTATTGTACGTGTGTACTACCTACGTGTGTACACGCAGAGTTTGAAATGACATCCGTTCTATTCAATGTTTTTGTTTTAACGATTATAGTACGCCTCTGCGCTACGGTTTGCGTATGAACGGTTTTTTTTTAGGGCCGAAGAAAAACTAAAACACGACAAATTTATGATTTTGTTATAAATTTTTTTTTTTTTTTTTTTAATTCATAACAGAGGTTTTGTAAAATATATGTTTAGAAAATCGGCGGCGGTTAAAACTTTTGTTGGAGCCTTTTATTTTCTACGTTTTTTTTAGAGTCTTTGCAAATGCGAATATTATTTTGATTTGTAATCGATTATAATATTTGATCAGTACGTGATCAGTAATATTATTGTACCGATATTAACTCACGGTAAATAAAACCCTAGTCATTTGTTGCGCTTTATGAGCTTAATATATGTATAATTAACCGCGACTTCTGGTCCCTCACTTTCTGATTATTATGCAAAGACGGTTTCGTAACGTAATAATTAATATGGCATATATCTTGAATAGATTAATAGAATAGAATAAAGATATACTTAAACGGTAATATTACTGCAGGAAATGTTCTCTGAACCGCCGGATATTTCACGGGCGAAAACCGAAATCGCCAACAAAAGTTCCGAAAATACTAATTGTAATTTTTCTGTGTCAGCCGCCTTTCATAATGATTGAATTTCGAGCTGAAAGTGAGACCTAGGCGATGTTTTTTTTTTTTTTTTCGAGTGAGTTTTGAATGTCGAGTGTGCAAATTCACACCGAGATCGAAATAAAGATACATATTCGTATTATAGAATTTCAATTGTATACATAAAATACCGTGATTTTATTTTTATTGCAGGGTGATCGATTATTTTTTATATCATCGCGATCCGGCTATTTTTTCAGATGAAGACGATTTAAGTTACTTAAAAATTAATATAATAAGGGTGTTTCTTATTATGAAATGAAAATATTTTTTAAAAAATATCATTCGTAGGATCCGTATAGTAATTACATTCATTTTTATAAAATCTATTAGTGATGGAAGAGCGGGATGCTCGTTTTGTTATATTACACGTGCGAGACAGACAGAAAACAAATGTTATACTGACGAGACCTATTAAGAATAAATTATATAATTTGTTACCCATTTTTGACATAATATTATTATATTAAAGAATTTTTTATTGTTTTTAAAGAAATATATCAAAATGTACAGAATATTTCCAAGTCCTGTATTGAATTCACTAAAAACGGTTCCGAGGTCAATTGTGCAGACTAAACTAATACAGTTTTAAAACAGTTCAATATAAAAAAAATCTTCGGTCTCAGGGATAAAGGGCTTAAATCAATTTTAGCGGTTTTTTTTTGTATTATTTTGTCTTGTGTAATTTTTTTTTACCTTTAGCATAAATGTATATATTCTAATACATGTTCTATACCTAAATCACTAATATGATGTACTTCTATAATTGACAAAAAAAAATGAGTCATATGAATATATGATTACATGACTTGAGCCATTTAGAACACCATGTTTAAGTAAATTTGGTACTTAGCAATTTATACATAGTCATTTAACAACGGTCAATGTTAATTTGCTTTTATTGAAACCTGTACAAAATTGACTCGAGCCCTCCCTCGCCGGGACCAAAATTATAGACTTCACACTTCCCGTGTGCCGTTTTCGCGTTTCGGTCAAATGAACCGACCTGAGTTCTTAAAAATTATCACCGGTGTATAAATGTTGTTTTTTTTTTTTTAATTAACGAGAGCACCGTGATCATTTCGTCAGTTCAAAACCATCGCTTTTTTGGCGTTGTCATTTACAGGGCTCATTATACGCCGGTTTACGTATGAGCGCCAACGCTAAAAGTAAACAGTAGCTATTAGTAAACGTTTGATATTATTTTGTGGTGTAAAAATAACCGTTAAATGAAAAAATACTATTATGTTCGAGCGAACGTCGTTGAAATTCAATTGGCAATACGTAAAATAATAATAATTGGTTTCTATAATGTCTATAATACTGCAGCAGATGTCAAAAACTTTTTTTCTTTCTTTTTTTAAACCCGTTTATTCGATTACAAACAACTGAAACGCATCATTTTGGTAAGCATAATAATCTATAAAATATATTATACTTAATCCTTAATGTTGTCATTATTTTTCGATGTAGCGTATATTTGGTTAATTAATTAAACATAACCTTGGACGGCTGCGGATTCGGTCGGAAATATTAGACGGTCTGTAGTAATATTATTGCTGTACTCTTGTTCCCCCACATTTCAGCTGTGCACATGTACCGGCTATAATATATTATAATAACGACGAGCGCGGACGAGTAGAAGATGAGAATGTTGACGATTGCTATTCGATTTTTCTACGATCCATTAGCACTTTAATACCGTTAAACAAAATTGACGAGTAATAATAATAATAATAAAATAATAATGCATGCTCATAAAGACGACCGATTAAGAATAAAAATACTTTATGTTGTATACATACCTAAAATGCACGCAGTGGCACTCGAAAATTATCGAAACGGGACCCGCGAAATGAACACGTGTTTACGGAAATTATAATAATTTCTATCGTCAGTTTTACGTTTATTTATTGAGCGGTCAATATTTATGCGTTCTTAACTATATGTATACAGAGAAATTCATTTATTACAATCCAGCGGATTTAAGTCAATTTTATTTCTGTTATTTAGTCGTATTTATTTTATCCGTTATTCGCAATTTTTAACTCTATATACTGCTCCTTGTACTTTAAACGAGTACCTATTTAACTTTTGATATTCAAATGAGATACCCCTTCTTCATATGAGACATATTATTATGAGAAAATAGAATATTTGTCTAAATATTTTAATGTACGTAACACAATAATAATACTCGTATAACACTATTACAGCCATTTGCAAGATATACCGTTTATGATTTATGTCCGTATAACAGCTCGGAATTTAGACTCAAGAAGAGTTGGAAAAAGTAATAAATTTATCGCGATAAAATGGTAATGGATCGTACATCATCCCAATAGATCCTAATAGAATCACCCTGTGTATAGAAGCACGGCTAGAACACATTTTTCGGTAAAAACGGTAAATTGGACGAAATCTGTTGAGAGATTCTGCAGAGAGGAGTCATTTTTTTATGAATTTACTGGAATAATGCAGTATATAAATTAAGGAAAATGAAAGGAACTAAAAGAATAAGGCAACAATATAAGGATATGGAGAACTTCAACAAACTAATCTGAAGATTAACATCTAAAACAATAAAACAAATTATATACCTTTCATATTAACAAACTATCACTGTACAAAAAAAAAACAATATACATAATTTCATTTTTAAAGCCGACAGACACAAATATACGGTGAAAAGGTATACTTAATATTCTTAATGTTAATTGAAAAGACCGCTTAAACTGTGAACTAAATGATTGAAATTAATGTTTGTCATATTATCTCTTAGTCGCACAAATTCCAACTTAAACACCGATCGCGTAATTTTATTCAAAACGATTTACATTTTACATATATTAGTATTAAACGAGTTTAAAATTTAAAAAAAAAACTTTTTATTTTTTACGTAATTACCAATATGGGTTGTTTCTCCCGTCTCTCGCCGGGCCTATCAACCCACCTCCTCGCTACCCAACACACAAATACATACACACACACACACACACAAACCTTATAATATCCCGAAAATCTCTACGGGATTGCAACCATCGTTTTAGTTTTCCCCCTCGGCAAACTTGTACATGTATATACTGTAAGCACAGCAAAGTTGAGTAATTTATCAAGTTTTGAACACAACTTAAACATAATGAATGAAAATATGAAGAGAAAAAAATCGAAACTCTCGAAAAAAGAAATAAGCGTTTTACGAGATTAAATGTCACACAAGCTTACAAAGTTTCCACGATGACGGCGCGCGCGTAGGAGGGCGTCGGTGATACTATATAGGAAACAAATACTGTTCGTGTTTATATTTTATATAATAATATGATATAAATATTATGTCACACAAAATTTACAAAAAAAAAAAAAAAAATAATAATAAAAATACACAACTCATTTTATTATATAACAGAAATATAAACGTATAACTATATAATATACGATGAAGACGACGTCTGCAAACATGAAAAAAAAAGAGCTGATACTGGAGATGGGAACGGTAACTGTTGTAGGTGAGAAGTTGGGAAATTAGGATACATAAGGTTATATTATTTATATCTTTAAGCAACGATAAATCATTGCTTGACGAAAAAAGATTCCGAGCACAGTTCGGTAATACATGATTTGAAGTGCCGTAATTTTTTTTTGCGATTTTCGTTTAAATTTGATTTCAAAACGCTTATTAAAAAAAAATATTCGTCCAATGATTTAGGAAATTTTACCACGTCTATATAAGTCCAATATAAGTATTATTCTAAAATTTCAAGTCTGTACGTGTATTTATAACCGAATTACAGCAAAAACCTCACAAAAATTAAAATTCCTTAAAATCTCAAAAGTGATTCAAAAGTTTTGGCAATGATACTGTAAGAAAGTAAATCAAAAAGGAAACTACTAAGATATCTTGTGATTTTTCGATTTGTCAATTTTACGACAGATTTTACGTCCGTGTTTTTATAAAATAATGCAATCGTGAAATTGTACGTTTTCCTACGTTTTTTTTCCACTTAAATGCTTTTATTTAAAAAATGGCGTCGAAAATCAAAAAATGACCTTTTTAAAGTACAATCAAGACAACTTGAGCTTTCATAAAAGTTACTACATGTAAAAATCGGAGTAAGGAAAAAACTTGTCCACAGACTAGAACAAATAACAAAGAAGAAAAAAAATAATAATAATAAACAGCATTGTAAAACCGATAGATGCCTCGCTACGCTCGAAATCCAATATGTAACGTGCCAAATCCTGTTCCTTTTTTTTTTTAAACTTATTGGACTTAAAGGTTTGATGTCACTTTCATCATGTCTCTACTTATCGTTGTCGGTTATCTTCAGTTCCTGTCGTTCCCAGTGTTTCCAAGTCTTCAGGTCTACCTTTTGGTCTTTTTCCGATTTGCTTATTCCTTAAGACTTTATGCATTAGTTTATCTTTTGCCCGCCAAATATGGCCAATCCATGACTCCAGTCTTTTAGGCTTCAAATAGGAAAGAATATCCGTAAGAATTATTACTTATAATATAACTATTGATAATAAAATACGAGTATATTAGTCTACATCTTTTATCTGAGTACATAACGTTCTCTATTATAATCAGGTCAACTATAACCCTTTATCAAAAGTCCATACTTAGCAAATGTACATTATTTCTTGATGATTACAATATTTTATTATACAGAGTAATCCGTTTTGCAATTTCGAAAAGTCTTGGAATGTATTCCAAGACTAAAGATAACATTTATTGTGTCTATTGGAAAAACTAAAAATACATTAAATTATTGTTAGGTTGCGCCGGCGGACTTTTGGGCACCAGACGCATCGGACACCCGTACCAAAATCGGACGCCACCCAAGAGGAAAAAGCCACGGACTTCGTTCACCCGTAGTCAGATATCGCAGCTCGAGGAAAAGTTCAACAAACACCGGTACCTGTCGTCCGTGGACCGAGCGGCCCTGGCGAAGGCGCTCAAGATGACCGACGCGCAGGTGAAAACATGGTTCCAAAACAGACGCACCAAATGGAGGTAAGCATCAACAAGCAAAACAATTATTAAAATTAAAAAAAAAATTGAGTTGAAGTTTTAAAGTAGGTAAAATTTTAAATTTTCGAAGGATCTGCGATTGGTTTTTCAATGATTTCGGAGGTCGTTTTAGTCCCCTAGTCTCTGTAATTTTACATGACTACCTCGCAATAAAAATATGTGTTAATGGCAGGTCATTGTTGACTGCAATATTTCGATCCTATGAATATATATATAGGTATTAGGTAACGAATAAAAATTCAATAAAATGTACATTAAATTCAATATTGGAATTATCTAGACAAAATCATCCAAAAGATAACCAAGATAACTATATTTTAGCCTTCATTCGGATAAAATCAAAATATCTCGTCTTTATCCTTTCAATATTTATTAATAGTTATGCGCTTGTGATTTATAATAAAATATACTATGCACTGAGTATAATATTATTTATATTATTTCATCAGTATTCAAAAGTTTATTCTTTATTTCTAATAACGATATAAACTTCGTAATTTGGTGATTAATAAATAAGTCATAATATTATGTTGTACCATAAAAATTTAATTTTTCTTTTTGTTGAAGACATTTTTAGATAGTACGTAATTTTATTCCTAAGAATAATATAGTACCTACTATCTACACATTTTTGGTTAATTTATAATACGTATTGCATCTAAATTACCTATTATTAAAATGTCGTTTTCATGCGTTTTCTTAATACATTCTCTTTATTATCTGTTTATGTTATCCAGATACTATCTTTTATCGATATACAAATATCGGTTATGTTTCCGAACACAAGTGAAATTATATTACACAAACTCTCGGGCTGTTTTTTTTTTTTTTATAACGAGGGTTTCCGCGTCCAAATTACGGGCACGTGGACAAAGATTCCGGTGTACCTACGACTATTTTACCACTGTTAGAACAAACGGGGTTAATTATATACTTATATATTACAAGTGTTGAGATCGTGTGTATGCTTTTTTACTCTCGGAGCGATTGGACCTTCTTTCATGGCAGTAGGAAGTGAACGCGCATAAATGGACGTTCGCTAAATAATAATAATAATAATAACAATATCCTGAAAATCCTCAATCGTTTTTTTGTACCTATATACATAGACTGCAATTAGGTAAAATCGTACGTATTTTGAAAATGACATAATATTTCGCATTGACGAATGACAACGCGATTCACGGCACGTCGCACATATATAATTACATAACGTAAGTATATATTACAGCGGTTACATCACGTCATTCGGATATTATTTTATTAATAATTTAGGTATATAGCTAGGTACTGCGCAAACAATGTTATTATCGTGTATTTCAATGTTTGTATTATTATAATATCGCTGTTGTACCGAAGTAACATAATAATCTATTTTACGTGATAGTTCAATAAAATAAAAAAAATGCACCGTCGAATAACGTATACATTTAATGACGATAAAAAAAAAATAAAATAAAATAAAAAAAAAACGTACCGAAATAATATACTTATTAGTATATTTATACGATCGCGTGTCATTTTTCTTTTTTTTTTTTTTTTTTACATACACATAATATGTTTATTACAATATAGGAAAACGCGTGTGTTCAGCTATTCGATTGGTCTGCCGCATAAGCGGATCGACGGTGGGAGGAGAGTGATGATAAAACTATAACTATAACGTTCATTGCTATACATAATAATTTAACGATGATGCAATACAGATACGTACGAGCGTTTTAATACGTTCGCCCAGTATAAATTTCGCGAGAGCTGTAAAAGTGTATTTAAAAAAAAAAGTTATACTTTAATTTTTTTTTTTTTTTCCCCGGTTTGTTGATTGAAAAACTTGAAAACCGGAGTTATTTAATACATAATATTATATTATTATAGGTTTTGCCGCGAAAATATAAATACATATAATATTGATGTGAAAAAAAAAAAATTATTACTGTTAGATTGGTTACATACATAGAGGTCCATGGGTTTACCCACGAGCCTCGAAGACTCCGTTACTCGAATCGAATTTACCGCCGGCTTATATTGTATTATAGACGGGTGTTAGGACATTATTTAAGTATGTTTTCTGTGTCCAAATGAACACTTAATAACGAAACTCAAAAATTCACCTATTGGGTGTCCTGTATTTAATGTTTGCAAATTCTCTCAAAGAAATAATAGAGCTGACTATTATTAATTGATTGAAAATATTTTCGATTGAATATTGATATTTTAACTTTATCGCTTTATCTGTTTTTGTCTGTGCGAGAATAGTCAGAAAAATGATGAGAGAACTGTAGCCTCAGTGGCCTGTAGCAATACCAGCTTCGAAAAAAGAAAAAAACTGACACATTAAAACCTAAGCTCGTTGTTAGTGTACTAAGGGGAATTTTAAAACTTAAAACGTTGGGTGGAAATAAAATAAGGGGAATGGATGAAATAACGTCAATAGGTTACATTTTGAAATAGAATCGACAATGCACAAGAGCCGTAATACAAACTTATGGTATTATGATATTACGAAGAAAAACATTTTACAACAAAAAAACATTGTACCTAATCTCTTATCAGTTTTCTGACAACTAGAAAAATCTGTGTTACGTGTTGTTTTAAATTGTCACGTCTCTATTTCGTTACTTATATTCCATCAAATAATCATTTTAAAACTAAATGGTAAAGTATTTAATTCGATTTTAACAAGATAACAAAATTAAATCTACTAAAATTTGTGAACTAAAAGTTCACTAAACTGTTTTAATATCTACGGACAATAGACTGCAGATATACACGGGTATAATAGATATTTAGCGAAACCGTTTTAATAGATTCAAAAATGATTTAATTTCGAACTGTTTTCACGCCCATAGAAACGTACTAAATAATAATATACGAGTATATAAAATATATAAGTATATTATGTACGACTCGATAAAACTTTGCCTACATCAGCAGTGTAAATATTATTGAAACGGCTGCAGCTGATGGGGGGTAAAAAACACAAATAATATTATGACGTACTCCGAACACGACCGGTTTTTTTTTTTTGTATTCACCCCTTGTCGACGACCCCTTTTGAGGAACGTATACGATTCCGTCATCGATACTATTATTATTATGAACTCGATAAAATAAACTCATCTCGCTGTCACCATAATCTGTATTATAATAACAGTCGGTCGCATGCCTTCTCGCTCGCAGACAGTGCAGGCAAAAACGACGAAATTTATTTTTTGTGTGGGTGGAAAAAAGAGTCATCACGCCCGTGCAGTGGAGTCATAATTTTTGATATACTGGAGTATAAACTTACTAAATTCGCTGACTAATGATGAGGAAGGGAGTTGCTCACTAATTAACAATGTTCACGCTTTGCTCGAACCGTATCATTTTTTTTTATAGGAATTTTAGATTTTCATACTTGTAAAGAAATAGGTGACGTAGCGTTTTCGAGGCATTTAAATTTAATAATGGAAAATCGATGTTGGAAAAAGTCTTGAAAATGCTCAGGAATTACGAAAATTGAAAATTTGACCACGTACTAGTATTATCTGTGAAGGCTTACGAACAAAATATTTTTTCATTATTTTGACGTTCATTTTCACAGACCCAAAATACGAAACCGATCAAAATGCCGACTAAAAAATAAAGGTATCTTTTCTCTCTTCTTGTTAACACGCCTAAATTTAGTTCTTATCTCTATTATAATTCTTAGTTCCATTCGATACTTGTTTTTCCTTATTCATGTTATTTATGATTTAAGTCATATATTCTTTTACCTACGTATGACGTAAGCTTAAACACCTGTTTCAATTATTGTTTTAAATACGTTGTCATGCTTGTCATTTTTCCTTATTTTGTTTAAAACATTTCACTTGTAAATCTTTTAGTCTACGGAATTTGTATCCGTTTTCTAAAGCACCCTGTCTTAAAAGTCTTCTACAGGTTTTTCTTTTTAACTGAGCTAATTGTCCAGTATTCGTAACCAAACAGTGTCAAACTCCAGTCATATGTATAGATCGCTAAGAATTTCTTCCCTACAAAAAGACTGACACTTATAAATTATTAATAAATGACTTTTATCTTGAAAGGTCATTTTCGCATGTTCGATACTTCAACTATTATATTGGTTACTGGTTAGCCATACTAAAATATTATATACTTAATAAAACTGCTACAGAATAAAACAAGTAGTTGAAAACATATTTTTCGTCCAGTTTATTCATTATTTTAGTAGCGGTGAAATTGATTATAGTACGAAGGAAATACAAAGGAAATAGTTTTTTTTGTTCATCGAAAATTACAAAAAAGTTTAGAGTTTATAGCCTGTCTCGTTGTGGCAATACTTACTAACTTAATACGCGGCACTGAATTATATTAAAATACGCATTTTACGATGGCGTTACAACGTCATTACACGACGCTGGAACCGACTACTTTTTTCGGTATTTGATCATATAGGTATTATTATTATTATTATTTTTTTTTTGGTCAATGGTGTATTCGTTATAATATGCACACGTACCGCTGACAAATCGGTCGGTCTCGTGTCAAACGAAACGTTGTTATGTTATAATAATAGTATAAGGTAAAATAATAATAATATAATTCAGTCGGCGACAAAACGCGATAAAAACGACGTGGACGAAGACGACGGTAGAAGTAAAAACGGGAATGAGACAAAACGAGAGAGATAGAGGGAAAAAAACCAAGTCCATTAGAAGCTTTTAAAATTCCTGTCACCTTTTCGGGCTGCTATTAAGTGGTTTTAATATAGGTACCGCGTTTTTTTTTCCTGTTCCTTCTAGGTTTGTTTTTTTTTTTTTTAATTACACATGTTATCCGCGCCGACGGTTAATGCATATTTCATGTAATCGGTGGCGCCCCCAGTGGACGAAAACACTGGCGAACCAGTTGCCCCACGTGTATCCTATTAGTTACTATACAACCGAATGCGATTGTATATAGGTGTATTTATTTTATGTAAAAAACCATACACACGCGCGTGCGTGCGCAAATACAATATCATTATTATCATTATTATACGTATTATCATTAGTCATTATTATTATTATTGTATACACACGAGCCGCCTCCGTGGGTATAATATATTGTCAGTTTTATGTTACCGCCGCCGTTTTTACTACCGAGAGAGTAAACAAACACAAACACGTCATCGGACATTACGCTATCCATAGCTGCGGGTCGTCTTTTGATAAATAAACAAAATGGCTTGCATTAAGAAGAATACTGCAAGTCGAGTTAGACTCGTGCGTTAAACCCACCGTACTATATGGAGAACTTTGAAAAGTTATAATGTGGGCAAATTAAACCATGTGATCGAAAATTATCTCGACTTGATTTAGGGATCGATAATGTGAAATTCCGATTATATTTTTAAGGTAGAAATTTAATGTATTTATGCTCTGCTAGCAATCTTCATTTCAACGATAAGTACTAAACAAGTACATCATAATATAATCGGTAAAGGACAAACAAAAAAATGTTCTCCACAAAATTTAGACGAGAAATCAAAAAATTTAAATGTGTATTCAAAATTTAAATCGGGCAAACTGTAGCGGATGAATGCGATCCAACTTATTAGTCTGAAACGTCATGATAATCCGTGAAAACCGTCGTACCCCTTCCATATTTACATTCGTATCGGACATTCGATTAGTGGACAAGCGTTATCGTTTGATGACCGTTAAAAGATAAAAACAATATAATTGTTAAATATTACGAAACCTGAGAAAAATCGAAAAACCGTTTCTAACCAACTTAAGTGCGCATATTGTATAGCCAACTTGTATTCTGTAATTATTTACTTACAAAAATATGAATGATTCGAGAGTATCAGCTGTAGGTTTTCTGAAAAGATTTCAATGGAAATTTCGATGCAGTTTATATCGCATACACTTTACACATTCACACGTACGCGAAAAAACCACGAATATTATACACATTATTATTTATGAACAGCGTAATGCGTATAAACAATGAATTTAATTGTGACACTGTCTATACCACGATTTCGTGTAGTATTATTCGTGTAGTATATTTTCGCTATTTTACCAACTGGTTTTGAAAGGTTTTTAAGAACGACGACGAAATCCTAATTTGTCGACGACGTCGCGTATTATTTCACATACAGAGTGTACGAATCCGCGGGATTCGACTATTTCTCGTGCTATTGCCACGGCACGGGGGAATGGCATGGTGGATACACCATGTACATCCTGTACGACTCGATAAAACCGAAACGATTTCGTCCCCGAACGCGACGACGACGATGACGACGATAACGATATTATTATTATTATTATTATTATCATCATCATCATCGGTTATTAGTCCGGCCGTAATACACGTCCGAACGGCGACCCTATTTATTAGTATAAAATAATATGGTGTATAAATATAACACGGACATTAAACCAAATAATTTATTTAATACGGCGATCTTATTACGACGACGCACACAACGTCGTCGTCGGTTCGAACCTGTTTTTTAGTTTCGGTATAATATTATCGTGGAACTAAAAAGGCTCGACACACCGGCGAGACGACGTGTGTACACGTCATCCGATAAGCGCGGACGGCGCCACACGACGGGACGAAATCCGACGACTAGCGCCACCGGTAACCCCACTCCCTTTCCTCAATGTCCACAGGTCGCCGCGTCATTATTATCCTCTCTCGTTCTGTCCACACACGCACACACGCACTCTCTAACTCCCTCTCTCTCTCTCTCTCTCTCTCTCTCTCTTTTTAATATTTTACACATCGTGTTTTATAAAGTGTTAGATTTGTTTTTCTCCCGTCCATATACAGTATACACACCCGACCGGTCTCGATATAATAATAAAATGTGTATACCCGACCGATAGCATAATAAAACTCTCAAAACCGTCAAAAATGCGGACGGCAATAGCAGAATACCGAAAAATTATTAATTTTGTCGATTTTTACGTTAAACCGCCGTTGAATTGCCGTCTCGGCCATCTAAATTTCCAAGTTTATATGTGGTGGAGGGATGTCACCCCCCTTTATGTATCCCCTATCTCCGTCCCTGCTTAAAATACAAGCGCATGGTAGTTGACAGAAAAATTACAAAACATTATAATCGTTATCGCTAAACTTCCAAAACATAAAAAGAACTAAAATATTCTAGACTATTATAGTTCATGGCTTAATATAAGTTGTTAAACGTTGTACGTATGCAGTATACGTCAATTATTTGATTAACTCTAGTAATATTACGTACATTTGACATATCGGTTTTACCAGCAAATAACGTACAGCCTGTAGACTGTATAGAGGAACAATAATAATAACATTATAATAGTGCGAACCATATATGATATTAATTTAAAGTAGTATTTGTTTTTCCTTATCGCCCGAACTTGGTATTTGATAAAAATTCGGAAAGTATTTTTTAACGACTCGACGATAGTATAGCTTGAAACCAACGTCGTCGTTGATAAATAATAACACTTAGTCGAAAAATAATTTTCTTTAATCACTTTTTTGACGATTACCATCATGTTCCTTCAAAATACGTATATATTTCGTAGACATCCGTAAATTGCCGAGTTCGTTTTTGTTTCAAAAACGATTAAATTAAATTCGAAACGGTCACAACGAATTACGAAAACTGCAGACGACGTGTCCATAGAAAAGATTTCGAAATATTATTCGATTTATTTGTAAAAGCCTCTATACGTATAATGTCAGTTGAATAGAGCAAATCTACGGTTGATTCCACGCATCTATTTACTGTTTATCGCTTATACAATTTTTATCAAAACGCATTAAAAACTGGGGTCACTGGGGTGTACCGATGAATGATCTAACGGGTCCGAGACTGAGAGAGTTTTTTTTTTTTTTTAAAAAAAGGCTCGTATAAAATACACCCGTTTTGAAATTTATTTTCCATATTTTTACATCGAGTAATAATTCCGTATAGTCGTCGGCTTGTTAACTATTCCGAAATTACGTGGCACGCGATTTGTCGCTTGTACATATACGCGTGTCAACAAGCCATTGTACAATACTTACCTACATAATAATAAAGGAACCGATTTTTCGAGCTGGTTGAACGGTGTACAGGTATTATAAATTTATATTCTGAAAACGACACTATATAGAACTTATTATTACTATTGTATTACGGTTTTGTGATTGTGATTCCGAAAATATACATTTAAGTGGTAAGTGTTATAATATTCTACGCAGTGTTGTATGTCCGGATTATATTGTTAAAACCAGCTCGGCGCATATATCTGACCGACGTTTTCACTCTCGTTCTGTCTTTCTGTCGGAAAAATGCCACTGTATACATACACACACACACACACCACACACTCGGATGAACATTACAGATTTCGGTCACGTTAATAATCGTATAATATTACTTTAGGTTACCCGTGTGTGTGTGTGTGTGTGTGTGTGTGTGTGTGTGTGTGTAATTCTATATGAATAAACCGACAACGACCGGGATTTTACGGACGGACAAAAAGACTACGGATTATAATAATACATATAATATATAGGAATAATACAGGAATCGACAGTATAGGAGGTACCTTCTTATAATACGTTTTAAAGACGGGAAATGATAATTATCATTTTTGTTATTCGACGGTTACCTATGTACAATTTTGAACGCGAACGAAATATATCGTTGATATTATTAGCACACAACACGAACGCGGAATGAGACTTACAAAACTCACAGTACCGGGTCGCCGCAGTAACCGTCTGTAGGTTTTGTAAAATCGACAAAAATGCTATTGAAACACAGAATTATTGTTGTTATTGATGTTCAACTGATTTCAGGTCCGGTCAATTTGCATAGATCGAATTATTCTGCATCTGCTTATCGTTTAGTTACAATTTTGCTATCGTGTAAAAAGTAATTCAGTTTTCTAGTTATTGTCATTCTATACAGCTGTATATAAAAACTATAAAACATAAATATAATATTTGTTTCGACACTTTTCATCTTCATCGGCCTCATCTGACGATTTTTCAAACGTCATAATTAATCACCAATAAGGTCAAGGCGATTTAGAGGTTCAAATTTCAAACACAATTAACGACTTGGAATTGAATTTTTATACATTTTTTAATACATCATAAATTATTATAACACTATGATATTTGGTACGATACAATTACACGGAGATTATCAGACAGTTTACAGTTTACACGACTGTTTTCATGTAACCCGGACATTAAATAACGATATCAATTATCAAGCGTGCACCTTACAATATTCGTTTTCGAATATAACACATACGAACATTCGGATTGCGTAGACGATGACGTCACTCGTAAAGATTTCAAAATCTAAGTAGACGCTACTTATTGGACTCACGGTTAATTCGTTCTTATTGGATTCAAATTGTTCGCTATTCCGTCCCGTGCGTAGTCCAATAAAACAAATTCTGCACCATCCGTCTGGAAGGTTTTTGCCCATTTTTTTTATTTGTGTTATTTGTAACAATTATTTAACAGCTACCGCCTCCGGTCCCGGTATAATACCAGCTCAATAGCGTTACGATAGATAGCGTAATCGTCGTTCTGAAAAAAAAAACCATTACAAGGATATCGCATTTGTTTTTATACGCCAAAACCCCATTCTTTGTATAATTCAAACGGACGAGAGGAAGACGTACGGAATACCCTGGTGTAATAGAATCTCTTACCGGCGAGCCTCCCGCGCATTCTCCAAATAAGCTCTTGCTGAAACGGGACATTCGAAAATAATGTGTTTTTTGAAGAGTATAATAGCGATAATATTTACGTCCAGATTGTTTTACTCGGCGGAAAGTGTGGTAATAACACAGGGCGAGTTTCAATGATTTTCATTCTGCGCTCGAGAAAAAATTATAAATATTGAAATAATATTTTTCTTTTTATTTAATGATACTATTTATACGGCTTTAGCTAACGATCCATAAATATATATAAATCATTTATAGACTGTTAAGATTTTATAGTTATCGTTACAGGCTCGGATTCAGATTTGTACCTTTGCCCGGCCAATATATTTATACAAACTGATTACTAATAACCAACAATGCATGTGATCGGATTTTGATCTACTGTCTATCTGAGATCAAGACGTGTGAAGTGTATACTGTTTCAAATTTAAAAAAAAAAACCTTCCCGAATGATACTTATTTACTGATATCAAACGTGCACCTTTACATAAAAACAATTAATACACCCATTGAATAAAATATAACCAGACGTTTTGTGACTTATCTAGATAAAAATATTGTGATATCTATCTGAGAGTTATCTGAAATTAAACAATTATTATATTTCTTAGTCAATCTAGAAAAAAATATAACTAAACAAATGCCTTAGAAACCCATCAAAATAATTATTAATTATTATTATAAGTGACTGTAAAAAATTATAAGTATTACGAGTATGTTTCGTTAAAAATTCGAAGTTATACTATTTAGTACACAATTTACACTTTTCGCGTTTGCTTCAAAATTATTTTAACTGTTTATTCGTGTTTAAGTGGTTTAAAAATATGCGACGGCTCAGCAAATATTACGTATTTATACTGTTAAAATAATAAACGAATTATTTTATTTCTCGGGGGTCTCTCGCCTCGCCGAACAAAAAATGTCGTACGCACGTTGGCGTACCGTCGCTGCAGACTTGCGGTCCGTGTAAACACCTACGCCTCGAAGTCGTCGTCTTCGAAAGACTTTTTACGCCGTAGTTAAATTATTATGTACGTATGTATAGCGTGTATAGATTAACCGTTTTGAAAATAAATCAAAAACGTACTGCCAAATATCACGGAATAAATCGTCCGCAAAATTGCAGTCCAATGCTCGCGTAGAATTTTAATTTATATTTACATATTTATTGCGCATTTTATTATACAAGTGCCGCTAGAATTATAAGTAGGTATTATACCGACCCAATATACGAGTATTTATTGTTTACGTTAGTAAAAAAAAAAAAAATGTTAAAAATACAAAGTTACGAATAATACGCATTGCAAATATTCTAAAAAAAACGTAAGATTTTCACTTGGCCGATGGTGCTCAAAGGGGAGGGGATGGACGTTATAATCCATCCCCTCCCCTCATTGAATTGAAATTGCTACAACTATACGAGTAGGTACACGTATTCAGTATAATGTACCTAAATTATAATAATGTCACGAGGAAAAGAGATCGAAAACGTTACAAATCTCTATATATCTGAGGGAGGGGAAGAGAGTGTAAAGCCCCCTCCAAAAAAAAATGCCCAAAAACGCTCTTTTGAACACTTGCCCGACCCGGGCACACCGACAGTATTATATTTTATTATATATATCGGCGTATATAATAATATTAGGTATATACGATATGAACCCGCGAGGCCGAATTCCATTAATATTTCATCGGACGCGTCCACAAACTACTGAAATCCGCTTTAACGTTTTAAAAACCGCTGAATTATTCAAGGCGGCTTTTAAACTGTCAACTTTCGGTGTGCGACTATATTACACACATACACACACACACACACACACACACACACACATACACACAAGGGCGCGTACGCTCTCCCCTTTTCGCTGACATTTATCTATCTATAAGCGTACGTCCGTGTGCAGTAGTGCAAAGGCCAATCGCTACTACCATTCCGCGGATTTGAATATCCGAACCACCGATAACGCAATAAAAGGATGTGGTTGCGATATACGAGCGGATGTACGGGCCGAATTGACCGCGATGAGACAGACGCCACAGAGATCTGAAATTTCAAACTTTCTAGACGTGGTAAAATGTTCAAAACATCCCGTTGATTTTTCGTGCTATTTATAAACATTTTGACATTTTTGAGATTTTTTTACTTTTTTTTTTTTTGTTTTTATAATCATCTATGCAGTGCAGAAGTGTTTTATATTTTAACGTGAGGTTAATCATTAATTTTATATACTTAGTAGTGAAAAAAGTCAAGCGTAATGTATTAGTATTTTTGTTTATTTTGTTTAACGAAAATCGTAAAAATTTCAACCGAACTTTGCGCAGAATCGTATTTTGTGTGCAATCATTTATCAAAATGTACAAACAAAAATTAAATAACTTAATGTATCATACCTTCCCAACTTACCACCTATATAACAATGGCACACTTATCAGCAGTATTAGATTTTTTTGGTCATACTTTTGACCAAACTGTACGGTAGATGATCGTGTGAAACTTAAATTTGGGAAGAAAATACTTGAGGGGTGTATTACCACCTTACCCACTCACTTTACACTTTACGGCAGTAGAGCTTAGTAATAGGAAAAATAATAGTTTTTTTTTTTTTTTTTTTTTAATTTTTGATATTTATACGTAGATAATTGAATAACGACGAAATATTAGTTATTACATAAATTATAAATACATACGTATAAGTAATATAGAATAACCGCCGAAAACAAAATATTATAACTCGGTTACAAAACCGACAAACTTCCCCCCCCCCCAACGAGTTATTGTTTTTATATAATTGCAGATTTTCAGAGTATTTTAGTCGGTCTTGTGATGTCAGCTGTCATTCGGACGACAGAAAACATCGGGGGATCCGTTTGCTGTGTGTATATAAAGAAATGCGCGTGTGAAATCTGTTTTATATTTAAGTACGACAAAAACGTTTTAGGTATGAGGGGGAAGTATAGTGGAGAAATCTTCCCGGATTACGGCGCATCTCCTGCATTTTCGACGCAGATTCGGGGGTGGGGGGACGTACAAATATAATATATTTATTTCAAGTTCTGTGATTTTTAAAACTAAGCTATTTATAATGTTATTATTATAGCTAGTTGTACTTCTTTGGAGAAACTTTTTGTTTGACGGGTGTTATATGTGTAACGATATCGCAGCAAGTGTTCATGACTTATTCTGGAGTCTTTCGAAATAATATATTAGATAAAGGCCCATCAAATAATTAACAAATGTTGTAATTTCAAATCATTGTCAATTATCATATTAAATAGTATGATAATTATTGCAAAATAATAGTTTCGAAAAATCTATTATATTTACTGTAACGCTTGAAAATAAATTATTTTGTGAGACGTTTCGTTCTGAAATTTATAACTTTTAACTCGGCATTCTAAAACTTAATTGAACTAATGAATGCCAAATTGTACCACGTGATAGATATGAGCTCCGTTACCTTCACATTCCGTGATGGAATTTAAAAAGCTGTCCTAAGATAATGGAAACGGGTACAGTTACTGTTGTAGGTGAGCACTTGGGAAGATAGAATATAGACGGGAATTTAATGTATATCTGTACACGACGATTAACAAATGTTAACGAAAAAACAATTCTGAGCTGAGTTCAGTTGATAGTGTTGCTTTGTCAACTATATATTATAATGTGTCATATTATGGTAAAATAATTAGGTATGTAATTACATAACTATATGCGTTATATATTTTCGTTAACGATATTTCTATAATATTATACCTATATTTTTCCGTTTTCCCATTAATGGGGAAAAATCCTAGGAAAACCAAAAAATGACCTTTAAGTACCTACCCGATCAGATTTACTTTTAAAAAAAGTGCTATCATTGTAAATCAGAGCAAAATTGTTGGTAGAAAAGTTGTCCACAAAAAAATAAACATTATTGTAAAACCAATACATTCCTCACTCCACTCAGAATCTGGAATGAGTATAAAACCTTCCAACGTGGTTTTCCGAGTTACGAAACACTTCCCGATAGTATTAAAAATTATCATTATAATATTATACGTACCTATAAATCGTTTCTCATTTTTTTTTTTTTTTGTTTTTCAGACGTCACATGATGGAAGAACGGGAAGCTCAACGGCAAATGGCCACGAAAATGATGCAGTCCATGATGGACGACCGGGACGGCGGCGTGCGGCTGGGCGCTCTGCAGGGCCTGCAGGCCTGGTCGCCGGCCGCCATGTCACCAGGCGCCGGCGGGCCCGGCGGCGTGGGCGCGTCCGCGGTGGCCGCTCAACCGCCACCCGGGCACTTTTCGCTGTCGCAGCCGCCGGTCGCGTCGCCTATGTGCTAAACGACAACAGTCGACAAAATTGTAACTTTTTTTTTACCCCATTCGGTTAAGTTCTCCTCGATCCGATTATTATTATTATTTATTTATTATTTTTTTTTTTTTTGTAAAAAATAAATGTAAAAAAAAACCCCCCGCTGAAACAATATACATATCTCGTGCTCCGAAATTGGTAAAAAGATGTTTTATATAATCGTGAAAAAAAAAATGCGCGTTCGTGTGATACCTATATAAATATATAGATATATTTAGTCATTTTTCTTTTTTCTTTTTTTGTGTACAGATAGATTTATATTATACGATATTCGTGTCGTACGATTATTATTACGATTATCGTTATTATTACTATTATTGTAAATTATTATTATTATTATTATTATTATTATAGAATTACGAGAAAAACGGTATTTTGAATATTATTACTTTACATACGCGTATACAGAGTGTTTGCGGCGAATGAGGTCTGTCTACTATATTGCACAGAACGGTGAATACCCTCGTGTGTCGCGCCATATCGAACAATAAAACGGACTGAAAAACTCACCGTCGACAATGTAAAAAGCCACGGGATTAAGACTAACATCATCGCAATATAGAATCATTTTTTTGTAAAACACTGAAATGTAAAAAAAAAAAATTTAATTCATAATAAATTATATATTTTTATTATTTTACGTTTCGCGGCGAAAAATCGTCGTCAGGCAATTTAATTGGTTCCGAAAACCCGAGAGATATTCTCGTTGCGATTGCCGAAGGCTCCTGAAATTCGAAATAATTACTGAAATCGTTGGAAATTATCATTTAATTATACTGCGTATTGAAATAATTTAAAAATGGAAATTTGAGTTGTATAGGTACGATTAAAACAAACAAAATACAACAATCTGAATATTACACCGCGGTGTTATAACTATTCTCAAATCAAATGTCGTGTTAAGAATAAAACATTCGAATTCGATATAGTCGTACGAATGAATTATTACTCGAGATTCGCTCGTTTCGAATTCGCCTATTTATCGGGAGCCAGTTCGGCAGCACAAATTTCTCGGTGCCATTTCAACGGTCGCCACACTTTGATTTAACAGACTGTAGCGCCGCAAATACCACAAATTATTCCAAACATTACAGTATTCGTCAACGTGCGATCGTCATTTAAACTATAAAATTAAAAATTGTATGTATTATAAGTATAGGATTCGGAGGGCTAAGGGGGCTATAGCCCTCCAAAATCTCTAGCCCCCTCAATATTTCTTACAGCTTTACAGCTTCCTTGAAAATGAGAATGCGGCAAAACGTTTTTTTCTTCACTCTTTTTTTGTTTTGCAAAAATGTACGGAATAAGTGCAGTTCAGCCTCCTTAGCCCTTCTCCCGGCCATACGCCTATGTTATGTATAAATTATATACATATATGTATTATATATCATTTTTTTTATTATATACTGTATCGATATATTATTATTACCCATGTTTAATGCGTGTCCATAACACAAAACGCTCGTGTCACCGGTTAACCATCACCACTAAATTATTAGTACAACGGAAAGAAAATTGTGCTGAGAAAAACTCTTAGTCCCGATACCCTCCCACGTACAGTGGAAGTAAAAGGTTACGTTTTACGTTCAAAGGTTTAAGTAGGCTCAAAACGAGAATACGTTGTAACAATAATAATAGGCGAGCGTCGATAGAAAAAAAAAAATAATTTACAAGTCGGAGCATTTTACGAATGTAAAACTGCGTGTCCAGCGTCCACGCTCCTCTCCTTTTGATAAAAGATCCACGAGCAGGTAAACCGAACCTCCCCAATAACCTTTGGACTTTCCCCGATCACCTCTAAATCAATCAGTGTAAATTCAATACTATTTTGTTGCAAAATCTACCGATTCAGTCATTTATAAATGATTATAAATTATATTATTCATTTTCTACAGAGTGGACACATTTGTGCCGTAAGTAAAATATTACTCTACTGTCGGGTGTCCAACAGACTTTTTACTGCGTGTCCATTTTGGGCGCAGAATATTTCCTTGAAAAAAAATAAAAAAATAAAAAAATACGCCCTGATACGATAATCATATTAAGTATTCCCACATCCCCTCTTCAATATTAACCCACGCCGTCGTTTGACGCGTAAGTACGCCGATCGTTTTTAATTTGTAATGTATATTTAATATATTATTATATTATTATGTAAGTACACTGTGTATATAAAAATACTGCAAAACCACCGAAGTTTATTTTTTTTTTTTTTGAGTTATTTATATATTATATAGTTTATAGTTATGATAAAAAATATGAGCTGTTGTATATATATATGTATACATAATACAATTAACGAAATATTAATTTGTATTATTATTAATATAATAATTAAAGTCATCATGCCATTTAGTTACATTAGCATTATTTTTAATAAGTGTAATATGTATTTAATTCGTTTTGTTTTTTTTTTTTTTTTTTGTAAACGACCATCGTAATATTATATTATTATAAATTGATTTGTACATGTTTATCGTATACTTGAAATATATTTACACATATTACGTATGCTTATATAATAAACTTTATGTATATGTATGACATTAGAAATGTATCGTTTTTATTAGTGAGGTTTTTACTTCAGCGCGCGCGCGCTCCGATTTTACCGACAGTTTATATAAAATATTTGATACCTACTGATATCTAAATTCAAAGGTTCATACACTCTGGTGGCGGTTTATTGTACCGAAATAATGGATTATAAGGTCTATGGTTTGCTCTGTGACGACCGTACATAATATTATTATATTGTGACGTACCGTGCGCGCACACTTCCCGACGACGACGACCTCAACGATTAATGAACATTTTAAACGATAAAACATAAGGCACACAATGATGTAAACAAGTATGAAGATGATCCGGTTATAATTTTATTCTATAGTTAATCATGTGCTTTCGTTCTATCGGACCGTAGACATAGGGTGAATTTTCTGTTCGTTTCAAAGCTCATCATCGGCAAGACGGATCGTACTTTATTACTATTCCTTGTCAATTTTTACAACCCTCCTTATTCCACCAGATCCATTGGTCTTTTCAAATTATATCTCGCCTCTACGTCATACCACTAAAACTTGACAGTTTTAAAAATTATTTTTTTTTTTTATCTGTTATCTTAGGCTTATGCCAATCTGAGGGTTATCTATAAAATATAAAATAATTATCTGTTTAGTAATTATCTATGTAAAAAATACCTAAAAAATAAAAACGATTGCAAATAAATTTCGAATATACATGTTTTGAAATGCTTTACGATATTCATAACAATTGGATCTTAATAAAAAAAAAAGTACACCTTATGATAAACCTCGTCTTAAATTTTCGATCATTTTAACCGAGTCAACAAAATTGTATTCGCGTGAACGTAGGAAAAAATTCACCAATCTATTATAGGTATCTTGTCTGAGATAATTTAATCAATTGTTATTTTTAATATCTACATGATTTCGGAGCAGTTAGCTATATCTTTATTTAGTTAAATTTTACTTACATACGTCTCGACACTGGAGATAGTAATAACCCATCATTCTCTATATAACTTATTAACTTATAATGTATAAGTATTGTTAACGATACAAACCAACTTTATATAATATAATTTTATTTTTCAACCTACACCGTTTTAGTAAAAAAAAAAAAAACTAGTTTATTTTAATTTAAACAAATTATAAAATATTATATTATATTATTCTTCTGGCATAAATTATATTTTTATTTTAAACGATCGATTTGAATGCTATATAAACTGTCGTTGTCGTTGACCAAAGTGACTACCGTGTTATGTCGAGCCGAGAGTATAAAAAAGGGGGGAAAAGGATTATGTTTAACAAGCGCGAGTGATCGGTTATGCGCGAAGATAGGTCGAGTAGTAAAGGTAATAATATTCCGATAACCGCGCGGATAGACCGATAAATCATCGTCAACCGGATTTCGAAGTCGGCGAGACGTGTCGTGAACAAACCGAAAGTAATAATTTTTAATTTTTTTTTTTTTTTAAATCCAAACTCGTATAGGTACGATAGTTTAGTAACAGTATTGACAGATGGTAACTGTAGCATAGTTAGTATCAGGTAGTTTAAAACGAGTATTTTTATTATTATTATTAAATTCCTTTAATTGTATTCCCTATTTCTCCGCCGTGGGATGCAATAATATGAGCGATGACAACGCGATATTTTATGCAGAGTGATTTGTTTTACTTTTATCTGTATCTACTGTCAGTACCATAAACAAGATCGGTTATTGAGGAGGCAAGGCTCGTCCGGGCCCGCCCTGGTGGCCAGGTCACACCAGTAAAATTCAGTACATAGACAGTAATTTCGTCGCGGCCAGTTGTTTTTACGGCTTCGCGAGACGTAAACGGGCGTACAGACTACGGAAACAAACGATCGCACGCCACCGTTCATTTTCGTTCACGTTGTCGTGTTTCCGTTTTGACGGAGACATTCTCGGCCGCCTACTCCGAAGTACTTACTTATACCCGTCTACTTATAATAATATATTATACGATGACGCATCGGGTGTACGGTTCCTTCATTCCAAGCCCGTCAACGAGGATTATAATATTAAAATATTATTTTGTGTACGGAGTCGGGAGTGGGCAGAGCCACCGGTGTTACGCGAGGCCGGTGGTCGGACACGTCGCCGCGAGACTGTTCCGATCCCGAGAGCCGCGGATCGAAAAAAAAAAAACAAATTATGTATTTATATATATATATTATTATTATTATTATTATTATAATTTCGGTATTATCGATCGGGTTTCCGATGCATTTGTTTTGTTTTTAAAACAACCGTGTCAATAATATCAATATGGTATATTTTATTAAATTTATTCCGTAATGATCGTGTGCGTGTGGTTTTTTTATTTTCTGGTTTCGACCAGATGAATATTTACCATCATATCGTCCTAATAAAATAAAAAAAATAAAACACCACGAGACGGTTTCTGGTAACATTTTTTTTTTTTGTATATTCATTTAATCCGAGAGGTCGTTTTTTGAAATAAATCTGGTAATAGGGAATAACCGACAACGAAACGACGATACACCACGGTTTTTTGATACAATTTATGGCACGATCGGAAATCTGAAATTCTGCTTGCAAACTTAAGACTGTAGACATTTTGGAAGCCAATTTATTTTCTTTTTTTTCAAGGCGACTTGATCGAACTTTTAAAATTATTTCCAAGTTCCTTGTGAAAACAGTTAACCGATAAGCTCCACTAAATAAATTATCAAAGGCGAACAATAATAAGTTGACCGATTCGTTTAAACTACCTATATAGTTTAAATTATCCTAAAAATAATTAAATAAAATACATACTACACTCATAAATGTATTTTGTGCATTTTGCTTATCGAAGGCTGGTATATGGGCATCTCATATAGGGTACATGTCCACACGTAAATATTCATAATTTTCGTCAAAAAATAAATACAAAAAGTATTGACAGACAAATTTGTATACGATGTAATGAATTCATCAATAACTTAATAATTTTAACAAAATAATCAAGTTTTTTTTGAACATTGTATTTGTTTTTAACTAATTAAAAATATTTAATCTTCATGCATAAAAAAACGTATAGCTTAATTTCTAATTTCTTACCTATAATTACTGTTCAGGTTTGTAAGGTCAACTACAACATGCTCATCGTAGTGACGAGATATTTCAATTTCTAGAATATAACATGCGGTGTTAGAATATACACACGGCATACGCACACTTATACCAGAAAGGCGGAAAATAAAAAGTAAACAAAATTATATTATGCGAAAATTGTCAAAAATTGACTCAAGAGCCCGTCTTTCCCGAGATCAAAGGTACATTACAGCGTGTATATAATATTCGTCGCCTACAAAAGTATTATTATGTAGTGGTTTGCACATATCCAGCCGTACTACGGGCTATCCTGCTCACGATAGGCTATATTTTGGAAACCACTGCAGATGGTCTCGGTATGGTCGGCACTTACGTGTTACGTGTATTATTTCGTAGTGTTATCGGTCGGGCCGAGTGGAATCATTTTTTTTTTTTTTTTTTTTTTTTTTTTTTTCTGAAAAACAATACCGGTCCGGTAGTTGAGGGCTCGATATAATTGTATAGTATTAGGTATATTATATTGTCGTTGTCGAGGGCGTGTAACGACTGCCGATCGACAGCAGAGTGCCGAGTGCTGGTGCGAGGGTCATTTCGTATTTTAATAATATCGTTATGCATATATACTCGTATATATATTACCTGCAGGATACCTGCGATTCAGATTTAAAAACAATATATTAATAATACAACTACACAATTTATTACAGGAACAACTAGCGGGAAAGGAGGGGGGGGTGTTAGAGGATCTTTAGAACGCCCGAAAAAAAACCCAATAAGCTTTTTCGTAGTAACGACTGCTAAATATTTTATCTATGTATTTCACGGTTAATGAGCAGGACAAAATACAGATTTCCTACACCGTGCGTTTAAATAATTATGATAATTGTGTACACACAAAATTGTAGACAAAATGTATAGAGTGGCTAATTTTCAGAGTCGTGTAAGGGGAGATTATGGGAGCATAACCTCCGTGGGTCTTTTACGTGTCCGTAATTTTAACACCCTCCCCCCCCCCGAATTCGGTGGTCTGGTTGTGTCTACGGATAAAAATCCGGAGTACCGAGGTATAGCGTAAGTTCCCGATAAGCTAAACCATTCTTTTTGCAAGTAAGTACATGTACGCTGTTGTTGGACCGTTGACCGTTTTTTTTTTTTTTGTACCACGATCCTAAACTATTATACACTGGTAATATGATACAACGGTCTCCTTACAGGAAATTTTTTTTACACCGATTTGACTGAAAACCGACGGCGAACTACTTTGTAGCCAAACAAATCGTTTAGTGAAAACGACATTCGGAAATTCGTTATCGTTTGACAGACAGAGCGCACACGCACGGACAAATCGTAATGTAGCTTACGCCACTAAATATGTACTGCGAGGCGAGTACCTCTGTACGTACGCCGCAAACGCCGGCGCCTATCGGTACTGCTGTACTGTATTATATCATACCTATACTGACGAAAAGAGGCGGTGGCGGCAACGATCACAGACAAAGGCGTAATAATAATAATAATAATTTAAATACGCGTTATTTGTATGCGATTTGAAAAAAGAAAAAAAAGAACACCGAAGAGAGGTAGCCGCGCCGACAACGTTTTTACGATCGCTTTGCGTGGCGTCTGCGCCGTCGTAAAATAATAATAATGACATAAAAAAAAAAAAAATAGAAAAACGCGTTAGGGCGGCGAAGAGGCGACGACAGATCGCCGAGATGACCGGCCGTAAAAAAAAAATCACACACACGTGTGGGGGAGAACCTCGCGTTCGGGAACGATATGTGATTTCCTTCCCGCGATATAAAGCGCAATAAAAATCTAAACCGCG